GACGAAGCCAAATACAAACTCTCTTCCTATAAATCTATATTAATCTCTATCAAATTTTTTATCCTCCTTTCCCAATCTTTACAGAATTTCATAATTTTTTTTCCACTTTGTGATTTAGGCGTAAAAACGTAACAGTGAGACATATACATTCGCATTTATAAACCTTCTACTTACTGTTTACTTAAGAACTTATGGGGTGTAGTAAATTCTAGAAGTCGCGTCGTTCCAACGCCGAATTACCCCCACACTACGCTAGTAACCAGGTGCCACTCGTGAGAATCTTTAAGCGTAGGGAACCTACACAATAGATAAGATTTGATTGTAATTATTCAGAAGTAGGGTTCTCCCGTGGTTCAATGGTTAACGCAGTCTTAAGTCCCAGGTTCGCCAATGACGTAAAAGAGTATTTTTCGCACTCTTTTGGTACCCTGAAAAGAGTTAGTAATGTTAATTGTGAAATTAATAAAGGCATGATATATGTTTTGTGTTGAATAATGGGTCGTTTATAAGTATTATACCAAATTACATTCTTAATTAAAAAATATTTACAAAGAGAAACCGAACGGCCAAAATATAAGCTGAAGCACTACTTTATCAACTAACCGAAATGAGCTTTATTAATCATCAATATTACAAAAAATTAATTTAACTAACTTGTATTGCTTCCTTAGTTGTAAATGAATTTTTACGAACGTCGTTCTCTTTATATTTTTTAATCCTCTGTGATCAATTTTTATTGAGTTAAATTTTCCATTGAATTTTAAAGTGATAATGAAATTACAAAATAACATTTTATAAAAAATATCATATTAAACTGTTAACATGTAATTTAAAAATGTACACTGATATCACTTTTAAACTATAATCCACTTTTGTTATTAGCATTTAATTTAAAAACAATACTATAGTATTACAAAACAATTGAAAATCCTTATTCGTACGACCAGAACACTAAGGTCAAGAGTGGGTGTCGGGTACCTTCTTAGACTAGAGGCAGCTGCTAGCAAAACCACCCCCGTTCCCACGCTAGCTACCCTAAACTCGGACGGCGCAAACCCCAAAAGATTTCAACAATCTACTTCTTATTATTTTTTTTACCCTTACCGTGATTTTCATAACTGTACTCATTCTGTGTTAAGATCTGCGCGCGTGCGGGAGCTCCCGAGTCCAGGATTGCTCAGTTACAATATGGACACGATCTTCAATAAAAGTGTTTTGGGGAATATGCAGTCGACTGGTAGGTTAAGTTTATTTTATATTTATGTGGTTAAGTTTATTTTATATTTATGTGATTAAGTTTATTTTCTGTTTAACGGCTGAGAAATTTTTCGAACGCAAAAACGAATTAGGAATTGCAAATGGTGTTTTCGGTTATAAATAATATTTGCCGATTTATATTTTAATGTAAATTATACGCGATAATTATAAATTTTATTATTGTAGCTACTTTTTTAATTGTATTTACTGTGTTGGTGATGATAAAATAACAATGATTAAAATTATATTTTCTAAAAATCATATATATAAAAGATTCCTTTTTCTGAACCTCTCTTTTTACATACTTTTTTTAAAATAGAAGCAAAATTAATAAACTATTGACTGTGATGAAACTCATATTTTAATTACAAAACTAGTTGTGCTAGGGATCGTATGCATCGGACTGAGGACATGTAATAAATAAATTCATTTGAAAGTTAACATATAGCTCTCAGTACTTAAGTATTACTTATTAAATAGGTACCATTTGCGTCGGCAGTATATGTGCACGTTAACTGAGCTTAATCGACATTTTTAATTAACCAATTTACTAATAAATTACGAATTTTAATAGGTACGTTTATATAGAAATATAGCAACAGATAATTATTCAATACATTTTGCGTCTGACTTTATATAATTTATAGTCAACGTAGGAGTGTGTGCATCGGGCACGAGTGCAAATTCTTTTCCAACTCTAACCAGCCTATGGTAGGCTAGGGGAAGCCCGGGCAAGACGCATAATATGTTAAGGGATAATGTAAATTAAAGCCACAATTTGTTATTCATTAGAACTCTTTGTACTTTTAATTTGTACTATGGTTAATCATCTTTGGAAAATAATCACATAAACTTAAAAACTTTAATGATTTCTATATTATTTATGAGAATTAGGGTTCGTATACGCCTCAAGGGCAAAAAGGATAATGTTGAATTAATTAAGATAATTCTTGGTATTCATCATAGAAGTAGCTGCCAACTCCTACATAAGAAGTGCAGTCTTCATGCGCCCAACTTTTGCATCGATTACACTGAATCCAATCTTGTGTTTATTATTTTTACTCAGTGTATTTGTCAGCGCAAATTTGTTCGGTTGTTTGACTGAGGGTATTTTAGTTTTAGTCTTGCTGAGGCCTGCTTACTCTGAAATTTTGGACTTCTTATTATTTATTTACCTTCTGATATTTTAATGCTTGCTCAGTTTTGACGGAAGTAGACGTCTACGCCTCTTTCTTTTTCTCTTTCATTTTCGATTTCTATACTATAATACCTATCCGTTTTGCCCATATTCCAACACCCTAATGTTAGAAAAAACTTGAAGACTTGATACCATTTTAGTAGGTAAACAAAAAGTAATAATACTTAGATAAACGTGCAATATGCTAAATAAAACATTTCATAAGATAATTAATGACTAATACAAAAACTTAATGTACAAACCTTCACAAAAATCATAACAAAACAACGATTTTTATTTTACACAATAAATGCACTCGTATTGTTTTGGTTGCAAGTGAAACGACTAAAAAAATTGCCAAAGCGATATCTATTTTAGATTTATGGAATAAACAGTTATTCTTCTTGCCCGTACTATGCTTCTTGCCCGGGCTTCCCCTACGTGATATTACCGTAACCGTAAATAATAATTAGGTAGATAAATACAATTTAAATGTTGGGTCCCTGTGGCAGCCTGTCAATGCTGGCAGCTTTAGGTGTATTACGATTCTTACTCGTTGAGCGAAGTACCAGCTCTTCGGTCAGCTACCAGTCTTCATCATAGGGAACAAAATCAAAGTTGGAGAAAAGACTTGGATTTTTGCTTTTTATACCATACCATTAAATTTTATCATATTTCGGTACCTTGTAGAGAGAGTTAGACAGAGATATTTAATTTTTTAGTTCGGTCCGGTAGTTTATAGTTTATAGTTTATTTGTTACGTGTAACATACAGTTGTGTGGGTGTCGCATAAAACTGTATATCACTTAGAATAAGATTCAGGGTCGACACAGCGGTGAGCATCTCATGTCAAAAATATATTGGGTTTCAACATACGGTTTAGTTCGCGCTTATTCTTATCCATACAAGTTTATAGGCAAAGCTCTTAGAACAAACCAAGAATAGTAGTAGCAATTTAAGTGCGACCTGATCAACGGTGATTTGATCACATCACATACGTAGAGGCGCGATGCAACTCCAGACAGGTGTAGTGGGGTGGATAGCGCTCCGCCTGTGTTTGACGCCTGTCAGACAACTCAGTTGGTTAGGACCTAGCCTAGGACGTGCGCATACGCTGTATTCGTGTCTCGCGGAGGCAACCGGACCGGTATAGGCGACCTTACAAACCGTTCACTGACGTACTCTACGTGCATAGCAAAAATGCAATCCTGATACCGGAGTGCTGTGATTTCTTGTGGATAAACATGTAGGTTTTACTATTATTTATTTTGTTCTGTTGTTCAACGTGTTAGTTATCATTATAAGATATTGTTCTAATATTGGGTATCATAGGTGTAGGTACATTGGGTGTCTATATGAAAGGTACGATTAGTTTAAACTTTCAATTTTATCCAGCAATCAAATCGATTGTACTGTTTTATGTAGAGTAAGAGAGTGCAAGTACTTTGTTTAAACTTAAACCCTTATGCCTTTGAACTCTTTTACTAAGAAATTGTTTTATTAATTTTATTTGAAGTCTCAGGTTTTCTATTGTTGAAAAGGTTTTGCTTAGTGTCATTTTAAAATTAATTCCGTAAAGTCAATGAACACATTTTAAATACATGCTATATTTAAAAGCACATTGCTATGGCATCTTATTAGATCTTGTCGTTATCAATTTGAGTTCAAACATGAAACGTAAGCTCAGAGGCGTAGAAGGCGAACTAGTAAAAACATTTCTTTTAACTTATATTTTTTAAAATTAAATTTTATTTAAATATAATACGGTTTCCATTGGCAATTAAGTAAGTAATTTCTTGCTTTGAGAACTTATGCTTTGACACTAGTAGGTATTCAGATCTCAACAGAGAGAATATAACAAGATATGCATACAAAGTTACCCCACCCCGAACACTTCATCTTATTCACTCTTAGAAACGCCTTATTCAAAACTAGTACTTCTCAAAATATGTATTAGGGGAAAAGCTATTGTATCGTCCCAAAGACATGCCATTGGTTTAAAAAGCTTACGGTTCCGCCAATTGAATGGTTAAGATAAGGGTCACCGTGAACGAAGGCAGATGCGTAAAAGGTGCAATATATTATCAATGTTTGCGTATGTTCGACATCTCGCTATGTAAATAAAAAAAACGTTTTTAACTAAAAAACAGTATAATAGAGACCTTGGGTTCGTTACCTAATCCATTATATTCAGCTTAAAAGGTGTTTTTATATTATATTTACTAACGTTTAATTATTGTTTTAGTTTTTTTTTTAAGACATTAACAGATAAACTAATCGTGTTTTAGTTTTATTTAATGGTATTCATGAGAGTCAAAATGAAATTGATCCATTATCGTAAATAATCACTGTTACACCTAAAAAGAAGAGGACATTATTTTTTAAAACATTCCGAGCTAACATTTATTTAATTATGTTTTAATATATTAATTTCATAATTAAAAGTGAATATTAAAAACCTAATGAAAAAAACAAGTGTGAACAACATTTTTTTTTCGTTTCAGGTTGGAGCACAATATTGGAGCCCAGAAATCATGGAGAGGGAAGCAGCGAGTTCGCGGGAAGCATGGCTGAGCCTAAATCTGAAGATCTCACATTAATCGTGAATAAGCAACAGCGATTGTCTAAATTGCTTGAAAAGCTCTCCGTGGAACTGAGTAACAATAATCAGTACCCCTTTCCACATTGGCTAATGCGTGATACATCACCAAACGGCGTGACACTACCGGAAGACGTACCACTAGACCTCTCTATAAAATCCGCAGTCCCGAAGCCCAGTCCACCACCTGTATACGCTTGCGAGATATGTGGACAAACCTTTACAGTTCACGACCGGCTCGCTAAGCATATTGCGTCCCGCCACAGAGGTAAGGCCCCGAAATCATCTCGAGCCTACGAATGCGACATTTGCCATCGTCGTTTCGCTCGTTCCGACATGTTGACTCGCCATGCGCGCTCTCACAGTGGGGTGAAGCCATACTCGTGCGCAGTTTGTGGACAAGTGTTCTCCCGCTCCGATCATTTGGCTACTCATCAGAGGACACACACGGGAGAAAAGCCTTACCGCTGCCCAAAATGCCCGTACGCGGCTTGCCGCCGAGACATGATCACCAGACACATGCGTACACATACAAGGCGACAACATCTTGCTGAAATCTAAATGATTTATTAACTTTGATGTCCCAAGTTATGCATTTTCATTTACTGGATGTTATTACTGAAGGATGTATCGCCTAATATATTTGCATTGGTAAGACATATCACATTGCACGGCATTTGCGAATTTTATAATATTGCTGTTATTTGCAATGCGATTTGTCAACAGTTTTTTTTTTAAAGTGTCTTGTTACCAAGAAATTACATAATTCTATTTGGAATAAGTATCTGGTCAGCAATATTCGAAAGTCGATTTTGTTAACCAAACGCCATATAGGTAAATGCATTTTATTGATTCATGATTCGAACAATTTTATAGAATTATAATTTTATAAAATTTTCATAAATATTGTAAAACATTTTCTTTTTACTCAGACTAACGCACACCTCCGTAATATAACGGTGACGGATATTTTTTGCGAATTAGATTTTAACTATGGTTAAATTTTGAATAGTAGATTCATAGAATTTAACATTAATTCATAAAACATTGTTAAAGTACCATAAAGGTTTGTTATATGTGCTTAACTGTCAGAGAAATGTCGATCTACATTCCATATTTAAAATATACAAAATCTCTCTCTTAATATATTATACCTATTATTTTGACAGACTTTGGAAACATTTTTCTGAGTTCCTAGTTTCTGACTGAGAATTTCTTGAATCTTCCTCCTCAATAGGTCTTAAATTACTTAGGAATAAGGCTAAATTATGTTATGTTTTAATTTATTGTTTGCCGAACTTCTCGGATTCGTGGAAAGAGGCATCCTTTTGTTTGCTTAGCGATGTGTTAAGAAACTAGGAAAAATATTAAAACTATTGCATTGAAACTATTAGAGTTTTTACTTCAAGCTAAATGATAGTTATCGTGGTGCACTACCGTCCGAGTTCGTGAATAAAGCTACAAATTCGTTGTAGGGTCCTGTAGGACTGTTACGAGAGATGGCAGACTCCAAAACCTTGCTAACCTAACCGTCAACAGCAGCAAAGCGAGCATTTTTCATCTCGTTCGAGACCGTTCGAGCTATGACTAACATTATATTAACGTTTATAACTTGAAGAAACCATCGCAAAGCTCCGCGGTATGATTCAGAAGTGAGACCAAGTCTCTCTGAGTCTAGGGTCATAGCTTTACCAAAGCCTCGTGTCTGAATATAATATCACTTCGTTGCGATTGGCCGGACTCGCGTAATCGACCAATCGGAAATGTGACTTAGCAAGTGAAATCAACAAAAGAGATTAACAGAAGGGGCTGCTAATGATGTGTTATTATTGATATATTATGTTTACAAATATCTGTATAGTTGTTATTAGGGATACCTACAAAATTAGTAAGTTTTTGTGTATTTTTAAAATTTAAACGCATTTTGTTATTTCTTACAGTTGTAAATTTATTAAGTTTCAATAACTTTGCGTAAATTGTAAATATTTGCTTGTATATGTTATGTTTGTATTACATTGTGATAAATTGAATAGGTATAAAAAAAATTCCCTTGAGAATGTTATGTTTAATGTATGGTAGTATAATTCCTGTGTCTATACAAATTAAACGTTATGTAACACAGTTGCGAATACAGAAAAAAAATTAAAATATGGTCATATAAGACTTCAGAAAACCTATTATTAAATGTGTAAATACTAAATGTATGTGTAAATTCTATATCTAATATATTCTCCATATTGTAAAATAGTAATATATTCCAATTTTTATGAATAAAAGTTAAATATTTATAAAAGTAGTTTCATTTAAACCTAGCCGCAACATACCATAATATTTTTAACCATTATAAACACGATTGAATTAAAGGGTTTTGTATTAGTATATTGTTTTTTATCGCCTATTTCACTCAGGAATAATTTAGTTTGGTTTAGTAATCTTACTACTTAGGTACATTAAAACACCCACATTCCGTTTTTTAAACTTAAAAAAAAAACAAAGTTGAATTCGCATTGTAATTTATTAATCGTTCATAGTAGCCATTGCTAATTGTCGATGTCGCTAAAATAGTCTCTGGTTACAAAGACAATGAAGTATACTCCGAGCAAAACTGAATAAAAAAAATCCAGTCCACTTATAACTACAAAACTGAAACTGTACTTGAATCTAAGACCTCCGGGTTTTTTGCCTGATTAAACTTAAGGCTTGACCACTGAGTTTATATCTCCTTTCTATATAAGTATGAGATAAGCATTTGTACAGAAGATTCTTTCAGCATGTCTAAGATACAAAAATATTGACAGCGTGTGGCTGGCACAAAACACTGATTAAGATTATCCTGTAGCATTAAAAAAATAATGGAATGCTTAGGCTTTAGAACTTCGGGGACTTTATTTTTGTGAAATGAATGCATAAATCCTCTTAAGCGTCCATGCATACGAATACGCAGGGAATTACTACTACGCGCAATTTTTTAGTTTCCTTAAGAACCCCCGCAAACTTCAAACTTTTATCTGCCGAAAGTCTGATCGGGCGGGGGCATAAGCTCTGGTAGGTACACTGGGCCAACTAAACTAGGAACTGGGGGCCAGTCCAACCCATTAAACTTATTTTCCGGCGATACCAATTAATGGGTGTAATGTACATACTCATTAAGAGCCCGATTAAACAATCGGCCGATATAAGTTTGCAGCTTGATGTGCCATGTGCTTGCTATGACCATCCGGTCCTCTTACGAAACTGCTAAGCCACGAGGCTCTTCCAGAATGTTATTCTCCAATGGGTATATCGAATGTGGCATACTGCTGGTCGGCGGATGATATAAGTAGGTAATAAGTCTATGGGTTATAGGAAATTTTAATGGAAAATACTTCAAAAGAAAAAAATCCATTGGAGAAACGCATTTAGAACACCAACAAAACCAAGCAAAAACACTAAAATACTTTGAAAAATATACAGCTTTTCAAGTAAATCAAAATAAATTAAAATTTATGTAATATAACGGATAAACAATATAATTACGCATTTAAGTAATTTATTTATGCAGTAAGTACTGCTATTGGTAAATATTTCATGATCGCTATACCCATGTATAGCCGTTATTGAAAAATATTATAGCCTGGTTTTTATGTTAGAATAAAAATGCCGCATCTATTCAGTTCGAGAAAACTAACTTAAAAGCGTCGCCCAGGCGACATTCGCTATCCTCGTCTGACAAATGATGTTATGCGTTAACTCTCTTTCACTCTACCTGAAATATTTATCATCTTTAACAGCAGCTAACCCTTATTTGCGGCCAGATTTAAATAGGCACCCATATACGACAATGAATAGAAAAAAAATAGCTTCAATTTGATATGTAATTAATAAATGTAAGTTATGATCGTATAAATGTATCGAAATCATACCTGTTTACACCTGGCTACGAAGAAGTGCGGCCACGTGGGCAACGGCACCCGTGATTTTTTTAAGTCTTTATGTAAGTTGCCGTGATGTAGACGATATTTTATTTAAATAACAAGTGAACGAAATGTTTTCCCAAAAATCAATTCAAAATAATTTCATTAAAAATACTAGCGGCCAAATTTTGATAGGTACTACAACTTGGTAGATATACATTCTCCTAGTTATAAATATACATGAAAATTTGATTCTTAGCAAATAACCGATGACCGCACTAATCCTGCAGCCGGATCTCGTTTATAACGCCAAACCACTTTGAATGAAAATGGTTACCATGACAAAGCGTGAACTAACCGTGATAGCCTTAAAAATTAATTTAGCGTTAGTGGATGACAACTGTCGAAAAGCCCTAATACCTGTAAATAAATTAAGCCAAAAAAATATATGCCGAAGTTCATTGTAAATCAATTGTCAAAAAAATAACATGAAGCAATAAGAAATTTCTCGATTCTAATGTGGTAAGGTACATTACTCACTACGCAAGTTACTACAAACCGTACAAACTGAGGTACAAAATATGTAAGAATTAAAATAAATGGTAACTGACATCGAACCACCTCAAATGATGAAAACTAACTCATGATGGAATTTAACAAGAGTATATTTTTTTACAAACATTTATGATAAAAAAAGGGTGCGTGTACTTATGTACGCGCGTAAGAAGTTATACTTCTTTGGCTTTCTTTATTTTTTTTAAATATTAAATAATTAATAATAAATATTTAACGTTAATAATATTTAATATTTAGTATATTATTCAATTATTAATTAATGTTAATAATAATTATTATTTATTATTTTATTATATGTATTATTCATTCAATTTAATAACTAGGTATGTTTCATAACCTTTTAACTAAGTAACAATAGGTCTTTGTGAAAAAGCATTGCTAAATTTCTATGAAAAAATAATTAAAACTCCTTTATTTGTTTAAAAGGTACTACAAAGGTCATTATGGTCATTCAAAATTCTTGGCTGCTAACTTCACGCATATTCTATTTCTTTTTACTTGTAGATTGTCTTATTCCCATCTCGCTCGCGCACGCTCGGCGCCCGGCTGTTTTAAAAAGAATTTGTTAGTGGACAACTTCATTCTGATAATTTTGTGTCACGGTGCGCGCGCATCGTAAAATTTCACTCTCATCAATTTTTCGTAACGCGCCTAAAGAAGTATAACTTCAAAAAATTTATATAAGGATATTCATGTCAATATGGAATAAACTGTGGCACGTTGGTCGAAAATCCTCGTCTTCACCCCATGTCCGCCATAACGTGTCACGGCGCGGCGTCACAACTCGCAGTGCAAGTGGCGACGATTAATCCGTCTGTCTGATTTTGATGTTTGATTTTAGAAGAAAATGGCAGTTCTATTTTTTTCTATTCAGTAATGATTTAAGTTTTCCGATATAAATAAATAAAGTCATGGAGGACTAGCTCAAACGTTTTTCGGTTTTGAAAAGGTATAAATGCTTCAGTAGTCCTAATTTCAACATGTGCAATTACGTTTTCAGGATTTTCATTTGTAACTTTACTTTTGGACGACTACAGCGCCGCCTATATTTTAATTCGTTTTTGGATTATAAATGTAACGGCGTGATAAGTTTTGTGTATTTGTTTTGTTAAGATTTGCTTTAAATATTAAAATTATGCCCGCGATTATTTTTGACATCACTAAAGATGGCCGACTATATTGTAATGACAAACTAGTATGCTAGTTTTCAGTTGGGACAGTAATACAGCGCCTTGATGCCACATTTTATTTTACCTGTTTTCGTATTTTTGTATATTTAACATAAAATAAAAAATTAAGATAAAGAAGATTTTAAAGTTTGGTTTTTACCAGTTTACATCATGGCACCTCTTCGTGGAGGGAATTCTAAAAACCAAGCCTGTGTCAAGCAGGCTATGACGGTATCTGCAAACCAAACAACTCAGGGACCTTCTACCCCTAGAGGTTAGTAACTTCAATTTTTTCAACAAATTTCACTGAAACATTGGATACCTTGCTTGATTCAATCTATAAAGAAATCTACGATAAAACACATACTTGATCCATAGCTTATCTATAAGTAAAGCAAATTACGATAAAATGCGTACCTACTATCACAATGTTTATTTTTTTAAGTCACCGTGAAAGAAGATATGAAGGAGCCAGAACAAAGTGTAACTTATTTTGTGGATGAAGAAGGAAGATACTATTACCAGCCTTCTGTGGACAATGAAAATCTTACCATGACTATTGCTAATGCAAATGATTCTGAAGTAAGTTTTATCCTGAAATCAAACAAAATAGTAATAGGTTCCTACTCCCTTATTCAAAACTATAATTTATCTTTTTCTGTCTACTTTTTATGTGAGGAAAAGAGACAGATGGGTTATGGTTTAGTTAAAGTTGTCCAATTAGACTGACTTTTTAAAGAATAAGTTGTAATTGTGATGACATAGTACCCTATTACACAAATGCCATATCACACAAACTGTCATGTTTTTTAAATTTTTAACCAAAGTTGTTTGATTGTTACATGTAGCAAAAGCATATAATAGTGAATGAAGATTACCAAACAGTCACATTAGTTCCGTCGGAGACTGATATGGGTGAAGTCAGCTATGTGCTGGTGGTTCAAGATGACAAGCAAGTTATGAATATTAATATAAAGGTTAATGAGGTATTTTTAAAGTATAAGCTTGCTGCATAATTTTATATATTCTGTAATATTTTTAAAGTAATATTTCTACATAATTACTTAATAAGTTATCTATCTACGGTTTGTATGATGGTAAAGTTTGTCATTAATAGTAGTCTTAGGCAATTCTAATATTGATTTATCTTAACAATATCAAATAACCACTTTACAATAACACTAATTCCAGTTGGTTTTATACATTGTACAATGATTTATACCTGGTGATAGTGTCGTGGTACTTTTACTTTGAATTAATTTGTATGTAAACAAAATTTTTCTTGCCTGCTTTAAGTAGTTTTATTTATCATGCTTGGTAGCTGAATGAATAGAATATATAATTTTTGAATTGAGAAGATATTTTATATATTTGTTTTATATTAGGAGGAGAATGAAGGTGATGTTTATACATTTGAAGATGAAGAAGAAATAACAGAAAAAGTTGATGAGTCTTCAGATTCCTTGGCTAAGGTGAGTTTTAACAAGTTTTTTGCAATCCTAACCTAATAAATCATTCTAAATACAACTTTACTTGACTGATTATGAATAGTCTTTTCCTCACAAATTTAATTTATTATTTTTGTTGTAGCCAAAACGCAAGCAAAAGACTTCGCGGCCTAATTATAATTGCAATTATTGTAATTATGTGAGTCACAGAAAGTAAGTAACTATCTAAATTTATTTTATTGAGTTGAATACCTTTCACATTTCACACCCATATGTGATTTTGCCCACCTATTTAATTAGAATATTTCAGAAGCAAGTAAAACCTAGATAATTCAACAAATAATAAATAATTTTAATTTAATAAAGAATAATAATAAATTATATTTCTTGCATAAAAGCACATGCCACTTTTGAATTTTAAATAACTGTTTTAACTAAAACAGAGATGAATATAGATACATGATTTTTTTCTAGTATAAATTGTGTTTTTTACCATCTATTACAATTTCAATACCCACATTACATACAATATAATTATTATTGTAGTGCAGCTAATTAATCAACTCATATATAAATTAAGATATAACAAATATAATTAATCCTTTTTAGGTATTTGCTCTTAAGGCATATGAAGTCACACTCAGCTGAACGACCATTTAAGTGTAACGTTTGTGACCGGGCATTTAAGACCCGGGTTTCACTGAACAATCACACAAACACTCACAATGGTATCAAGCCTCATATTTGCAAATATTGCAGCACACCTTTCACTACTTCAGGTAAATTTATTTATTCTTTATTGCACACACAAAAATGTGGCCTAAATCAATGTAATTTAAATGGGATGTTATAGGCTCCAGAAACAGTTTTCTCTACATCAGTAACAATGAGATATAATAATAATACTTCTTTATATTCTCCCATGTAACATTTGAAACAAACAGTATGATTATTATGACAATTAAGAAGGTTTTGGGAGACTGGTATATATATTATATTCCTATATTACTTGTTTTGTCACCAATCAAATAAATTATTATTTAAAAAAACAGTACTATGCAAGATCAAAGACAGAAATCTGAGGGCAAGACCCAATTATTTAAAGTTATTATGATAATTTCTTAGGTGAGCTTGTAAGGCATGTTCGCTATAAGCACACTCATGAGAAGCCACACCGTTGCACTCAGTGTGACTATGCCTCGGTGGAACTGTCCAAGCTGAGAAGACACATACGCTGTCACACTGGAGAGAGGCCATATCAGGTAACATTGATAACCGTTATTTAATAGTTACAATGTTTAAATTATTGTACATTTGTTATTATTTAGTATTTTTAAGCAATTAGAAAACTTACTAAAAGTAGAAAATGAAAAGAAACAGAATGTCATGTTAATAACCATGGATTTTAAAGCTATCTGTAAACTATATATGTGATCTATATGAATAAATAAAATTTAATTAAATAGGGAACTAGAAAATATTAAAAATGTAAAAAATCTAACTATTATAACTTTATTTGATTTGTAATTATATTTTTTCAAATTTATTTATTAAAAACATCATCCCTCCGAGCTAAAGAATGCCAAGTGCATTTCGTCTCTCAGACTGTCTCTAAACAAACACCTGTGTATCATACACGGCCAGTATCAATAGAAATAGGGCTTTAAATTATTGTTTATTATTTCAGTGCCCGCATTGCACATATGCTTCACCGGATACGTTCAAATTAAAACGTCACTTGCGCACGCACACCGGCGAGAAGCCATACAAATGCGATTCTTGTAACATGTCTTTCACCCAATCCAACTCGCTGAAAGCTCACAAACTTATCCACAATGGTAAGTTTTATTGTAAATTAACCTATTGTTATTATGAAGTAAGTTATTTTCATTTTAATATTTAAAAATGTTTATCAAGAGAAAATAGATATGTTGAGACATTTTTATCGTACATGTCTTGACACAATTCTTCAACAGTTTTTTTTGTGTTAAAACTAAAACAAAGATTATATCTTTATATATTTATTTTAACTACCTAATTTTTTTATTATGTAATACATTTATAACAACAAATTATACATAATTACAAAAAAAATTATTCAATGTTAAAAACCCAGACAAGTTTAGTTAAGAAGCAATTATTGTTACTTTGTCAGACATAGAATTTTTAATTAGTGAATGCTAGGTAATAGTAACAACTAAATTTTTTTATTGATTATTATATAAGGCTTTATGTTTCTATAGTGTCAGAGAAGCCAGTGTACGCATGCGAGCTTTGCCCGGCAAAGTGTGGACGTAAAACTGATTTGCGTATTCACATTCAGAAGTTGCATACATCGGACAAGCCCCTTAAATGCAAGCGTTGTGGGAAAACCTTTCCAGACCGATACTCTTGCAAGGTTCATAATAAGGTAAGATTTTTTTGTGTATGGCAATAAAAAGCATATTTTTTTTACAGAGAAATTAAAATATAATAGAAGAGAGGCTATACGAAGGAGACTTGCAAATGTTATGGAATAAAGCTTAAAACTTTATAAGATAAATTATTTTTAAACAATAGTATAAATTACCAAGAGTATAGTTTTTAAGTTATTAATATATTTAATTCTTGTTATTTTGTGTTAGTGTTTGACAAATTATTTTCTTTTGTAAATGAAATTTTTAATGTTTGTTTAGTTTCGCGTATAAATTATGTTTTGATTAAAATTGAATATAATTTTTACAGACCCATGAAGGCGAGAAATGCTACAAATGCGAGCTTTGTCCCTATGCATCGACAACGCTTCGACACTTGAAGGCCCACATGCTCAAACATACTGATGAAAAACCGTTTGTCTGCGATCAATGTAACCAATGCTTTAGGTGAGTTACAAAATACCATTTAAATAAGCCAAGGGACAATTCATTCACAATTATATTAAAATATATACTAAGGTTTTCGAAGTCGAGTTTACGAAGAATAGAAATTATTAAACAGCCAATAAATAACGGAAAAATACCATGATAAATTACTATATTTATTACTTAATTAATTTTGATGGTCCCGTAGTTTAAAAAAAACACAGCCGGGCTTAATGTTAACCATTATTACATATTATATTTGTTCATACATTCTGCGTAATCTGACATCTTTTCAAGTTTGAGGATATCAAATTTATAGCAACAAGACTTAAATGACTAGTTTCAAATGATTTGAATTTATTTATTAATGCTAATTTTAGTGATAGATCCTTTTTCTATTTTCTTTGCTTTTGCTATGCCAGTCGGAATGTTATACAAACACATAAAAAAAATTCGCGCCAGCAGTTTCTGGTATTAGTCATTACAAACAAAAGAAATTAGTATAGATTCAATGGATTTTGTTATTCTTAAATATTAAATGGCTAATATTAAATTTTATTAAAACATTGCAGGCAGAAGCAGCTTCTTCGTCGTCACCAAAACTTGTACCACAACCCTGATTATTCGCCAAAACCACCCAAAGAGAAAACTCACGTTTGCCACGAATGTAACCGCAGCTTTGCACACAAGGGTAATTAATTTTAAAAAAATATATGTGTTCGTTCTTCGTAATATATAATACAAGTAATACAGCTATGCACTATGCATTTTAATGGGATAATATATTATATAGTATATATCATACTCTATAATATAATTTATGTAATTAACGAAAGACTAATAGTTTCTTCATTGTGATAGATGTGATCAACCTATGCCTGGCAAGTCGATTGTTCAATACATGACAATACGATGTTTTTTTAGCCTAGGTACGAAGTCGTTAAAAAAATAATACTTAATAATGGCTAAATATTTTTTATAAGTGAAGTGATGAATTTCAGGGAACCTCATTCGTCACTTGGCTATTCATGACCCAGATTCTAATCATCTTGAGCAGGCGTTAGCTCTAAGGATTGGCAGACAGAAGAAACTTAGGCCATACCCGGAAAAAGTAAGTCAATTCATTGGTTTACTGCTTTGCTCAAAGTATTCAAAAATAACATAAACGGTCTACTTTCAATTAATACAATAAGTTTTCCCTAGCACAGCGTAAATTAGAATAAGTAATTATACCAACAAATATATTATAATAAATAATTAATTTATTATTAATATGGTTAGTCATTTTGAAAGGGATATAATTATGATCAGTTGAAACAGGCAGTTTTAGTTGTGAGTGGTTAGTGGTTTTTACTGTTAAAATTAGTGAACTTATAATTAACTGATAAACCATTTTATGTCATATCAAAATGAAAAATGTGCTTATAATTGCTTTGCGGTAATATTGTATTTTTGAGTTAAGTTTTAATATGTAATTGTATAAAATTTTACTTTAAACACTGCTTTGCATAAACTTTTTTATGGTTTGTTTCAACGTTGGCCTACGTAATCTTTTTAAAAGAATTTATTATGTAAAATTAAAATTTAATGCATATGCGAAATCTTTACATTTAACCATGTATTTTAGTTTTACGGTATTTTAATCGGTACAAAATTGTATATAAAGTAGAATGTTTGAGTATCAGATAAATCATATCTGAAATAGCAAAATATTTTAATGTGTATTTATTTTAAGCAATATTGCAAATGCATATATTAAATTAGAGATTGCGAATGTTTAATTGCTCTGCGAATATATTTATTTCGCGAGTTCATTAAGGTGATTTATAAAAAGATGCTAATGCTAATAATAATAACTCTAATTTTTAAAAAGGGTTGTTTTATTGTATATTTCTTAAGAGAAAACCAATATATAAACAATTTGGCCCACCTATAAAAATGCGAATTTCAGAGAAACACTAAATAGCGAACTTATATGCAGTATACGACGCTAAAGTAAAATATAACTTGTTCTATGAAAAGTAACAATTGTATGGCAAAGGCTGAGCAAAAGTTTAGTAAATATTAGAACTTGTTTTAATTTTGAGTTAACAAAGTATTTATTTTCCAGACCATACGCGAAGAGAATTCCAGTCCGCTTCAAGAAGTTGTTAAAATAGAAGTGGCCAGCAATGAAAATAAAGAAGATGAAAATGTGGAAATAACTGGTGAAGAAAATCAAGAGTATGTTGTCTTAGAGGTCATACAATTGGAAGATGGGTCTGAGCAACAAGTGTGCCTCATCACACCGCATTACTCTGACATGGAGAGACGAGGTACTAATTATTAAGTTAGCATTTTGATCAATGTTCAAAGATTATTGATATATTGGTATATTTCATAATGCTAATAGTAATTATGGTAATATTGTTAAAAAACCATTGGACTGTTGAAAAAATTAATTTCATTCATAAGGCTCACAAAAAAATATGTATAAAAAAAGATGGTTTGGTTTTCAGAAGAAAGTGATTCAGCAAACGCTGATGATAATTCAGAAAGCAACCAAGAATTATTCTACAAAGAACAACTAAGAAAGACAATCGAACAAAATTTGAAAGCAGAAAAAGACTTAGATACTTGCTTTGGATTTGATGTAAGTCCTTTTGAATTTCTAAATACTATTAGGTTGTTGAACTAATTCTGCACCTGTCTGTCAGTCCTAAATTGATTTTTTTATATGATTAAAAAAAATTCTTACTATAAATTCCACAAATTCCACAATTCTAATATTATGTTGAACAAATTTACTACAATACTAGTACATAGCTTATACTTAGATAATGTTCATTAACAGTCTTAGTGTTCTAAAATGTTTTCATTTGATTTTCTGAAGGTTTTCATTTCTGATTTCATCAGCAAATGCAGTATCTTACACTAAAATTAGGTACTCTATTCTATGCAGAAGCAAGACCATGTCATAAGTTTGTGCTACATCTAGAAATAGAGCAGTATGTACAAAGTTTTTTCTCTTCAAGAGCTTGCTATGATGTACTAATTCTATGGACTTCATCTATATTTGAATGTTATTTTCTAAATCCAAATATAAAGAATATTTGGATTAATGGAATAGTAGTCATTTTTCTAATAACTTTGACATAAAATACCTTAAGTCACTTATTTTAAATAATAGAATAAAATACATGTTAATTACCCTCAATTTAATGAAATGAGCAAGGCCAAGGTAGGTTTTAAAATATCAAGTACTGTACAGACATTTTCTATGAATATTTAAAAGGTTTTACATTCTACCCTATTAGCTTTCCATTTTGTATTTAATTTGTTTAATTTGCAGGAAGAAGAAGAAGAGGAAGAGGAGACTGTACCCAAATTTGAGCAACAAGAAAATAAATATTATAGTCTCCAGTATGAATTAAGCGACGAAGAAGATTTCCCACATCAGTATGAGTCTGCAAGCGATGCATCTGAAAAAGATGGTGAGTAATGCCATCAAGGTAAAGTGTCTAAGCGTTTAGTACACAAGTAATCATAAAGTATGTTTAAGTTAGAGCAATTGAATTGGGGACCGAGTAATGCCTCAAAAAGTTGAATGAACTCACAAAGGTGCATATCCAATGTTTTTATTTATTTTTTGTGTTTAATTCTTTATGAAAGCACACACATTCTTCATCTTATCCATGAATTGTACTACCTTGGTTAGTCTACAAGATTTTCTTATAAATGCATGATTATGAGTATTCAGGATTAGTTAACGTTTAGGAAACTCAAAAAGCGCGTTTGGTTAAAAACATATCTGCATTTTCAATTGTTTGACAAATTTTAATATTTTCTTATATATATAAGAGACAAACGGGATGGAGGCTCAACTGTATCTTCCTAAACCAGTTTGCCTGGTTGTTCTAACAATTTAGGGCCTGAAGGTTTAAATGGACCATAACAACCATTATTTGATTTCTTTAAGATCTTTCAACAAAAACATTTGGATATGCACTTAAAATAACATATTTGTTTGACCTGCAATGTATAAAATTGTTGTATTTTAGTGATGTTTACAATTATAAACTGTTCATTTACAATCAATGTGGCCTTTGACAAACCAAAAATTTATCAAATCAGTTAAAATTATGTTTATTTACAAATATTACGTATAGAACTAAATATAATACTTATTACCGAAATAATCATTTACAGATCAAAAAACAGCGAAATAATCATATAGTTATAGTTAGTTTTGATAATGTAATGTAAATATTTAATATATAGAGACAGTTTTTAAAAAAGGTTATCTGTGTCTGAAACTCCTGAATAGTGTTATGATGCTTTATATAATTGCAACTTATAAGAATCTGCATGGATGATTCATTGGTATCAATATAATCATGTTGTTACACAAAAGCTATTTTAGATTAATACACAATTCATAGACTTGATGTAATAAAGCTTAAAGCAAATTTAAAATTCAAGAAACTTGTTAAAGAGCACAGATTATTTAAAGGTTTTTTTTAAAATATCTGGTATGTAGTGGTGGGGTATTTATATGAAACTTGTACTAATATCACTTCTCAAAATGGTTGTTCATTAAGCAAAAGAGAATTGTTGTTGTCTCATTTTGAGTAGCTTCTGTGTAGCCTAATCCCTGATTGAATTATTTACTTAGAAAGTTAAAAAGCAGACAAAATGTAATATGAAATTCTATTATTGACTTATTTGATGAATTTTATATTTTTATTGACGTCTCAAGTACAATGAAAGGAGCTTCAAATGTAACACCTGCAATCGCCCTTCATTGTAAATAAAAGGTAAATTTAGCCAATAACAATAGTAATCTATAATGCATGTGGAAAGTGTAAATACGTAAGTTAATTGTAAATTCAATTATGTATTGCTAATATATCTTTACGTTAGATACTTTAAAATCCACTATAACCTATTCTATTCATACTACTGTTACTTTCACTTAGCCATGGGCATTTTCAATAAAAATCACAACCCAAAAAAATGTTTAGTATTAATAAGCGTCTATCCGTTGTGTAATAATAAGAAAGTTATTTAATAAAGAAATTTAGTGTCTTATGTTTTTTTTATTTCCTTAATTTGTTAGTTTGATATTAATCATTTTATTAAATTATTAATATCTAAATTTTAATGATCCTAATCTTTGGGATTGATTTGCTCCAGTCCAAATAATTTGTATGACTAAAACTTGGCTATTAAAAAGAGTGGCGGAAAGTTTCTTGCCAGTTCTTCTTGCCCGCTCTACGCCCTTGACTTGTGAAGTGGTAGTAAATGTAAATTTACAATTATTTTACTTGTTCACGTTCATATTTGTAGTTATTTAACTATATGAATAAAGTTATTTTGAGTTAAAGGTTGATTTAATCATATTTTTTATTTGTACACCTTTTTTCCTACTTTCCAAGCAAATTTGTGGTATTAATCTGAAAATTATGAATAAAATGTATTTAAAATTAATTTCGTTATTAGCGGTCTTAAATTGTATTTGTCGCTGTGAATAGTTAAGATAAGGTAAGGGAACAGGGGAAAACGGTTTAGTTAAAAATAAAAAAACAGTCAGACTACAAGTGAGTTTAATAAGATAAACATACATAATTCCCGTGCTATTGAGAGGTCTATATTTTAAGATTATAATGCAGGATGTGATGTATATTATCAGTTTGTGTTAGTCCAGCCGCTGTATCTTGCACAAGATCACCAACTACTCGCTCTTGGACCGCCAACCGCCGAACCAATGGTTCCCATGCCCCATAGTTTAATTCAGTCAACTGTACGGCTTTACGAACTATTTTGTGTGTCTCCAAGCACCACTCCCTGAGAGAGACGAGAAAAGTTTGTCTTTTAATACTATACCGCCGTTTCGCACGGAATAACAGCTATTCCTAGAATAATTTAATGGCGTCAGTCAGTCCAATCAGCTGATTTCTGTCATTTCACAAATATGTATTCTGTGTTTTAATTTCAAGTCAACGCAACGCACTAAATTAATAGTCTGGCATTGTATAATGAAACGTTTAAACAATTTATTATTTATTTTTAGATTTTTTATTTTCTATAATATTAGAATGAAAGTCAACTAGGCTCAACAGAAGTTCCTTTTTAGACGAAAACCTCAAACAAACAACAAATAAAAACTTTTTGTTGTCGTTTGACACCTGTTAAAAGCTACTTTTTCACACTATAATACGGCAAAATCGAGTTGACATGATGTATGCTCTTACACTGTCCCGTTGTAGAACAACATTTATTTGCCAGTTTTATTTTCGTTCACCATTCTCTTTGTTATTCGCGTATTGTTATTCCTAGCGCAATTATACTATCGATTACGTGGAGAAACTACTATAGATTTACTCGAGATTAAAATCATGGAATAGGTTATTCCTGGTATAGTTACTCGTGTATAAATTGAAGTTTGGTCGAATCGACCCTTATTATATTGTTCTTATATGATAACAAAGTTTTATACCTATATGCCGAATTTCGTGGTGCATTGAGTATTCGCTCCAACATCACATCTGACAGTTTTCGTAACTCGTGCGCCACCTAAAACCGCAAATATAACATCAAATATATATACAATAGAATTTTAGACAACAGTTTTTTTAACAGGTGTGAATGTTTTTATTAAAACTTATAATATTTATAAACTTACCTCAACACTGAATGAACCATACTGATATTCGAGGCTTTGTATGTTTTGCTTTATCAGTTCCACGCTCTTGCTAAATTCCCCTTAAATACAAAGCGAGATATTTATATTATCTATTTACAGCATACATAGACCAAATTTTAACTAAAAATAAAAAAAACTTATACATTATACAATTAAGTGATTTTTATAAACTTACCAAAAAAACCTTTTGCTATGCATTAATCTTTATTACATAAGAATATAATGTATATTTAGTTTAAGAAAAACATGCTTAAAAATAGTTGTAGAAAATACACACATAAAATCAAGAATACAGGAAAAACAGCACAAAACGAATAATCTAAATAAAAAAGCGAAACAGATAAACACAAGGGATATTTTTAAATAAAATAATAGCGCAGTTTGCCAAATTCCCAGAGAGTGATCAAGTTGAGAACTTTATAAATTATTATTCTATAGAACAAAAAATCTAGAGGTGTTACAACCCTTAGCAACAGATTTCTGTTTTTGTTTGGTAATTATTATTAAAAAATATATAAATCCCTTGCTGCACAGCCTGGGTCATAAACTCTGGTATGAGTCGCACGCGAAAGCCAGGCCAACAAACTAAATAGAAAATCCATTTTTCTACCTTTCATTAAATTGATTTGCCGAGTCCAATTTTAAATCTACCTATATTGTTTTCTACAGTACAGGCCGATTAAATGTGTTTGATTATTTTAACAATATTTTCTTTAAAATTCAAAACCTTACCAGCATCTGCATAGGATTTAGCCAATCTATCAGCTGCGGCGCGTAATGAGGCATGATGTCTGTACCATACTTGTTGCTTTAAGCGATACGAAGCTTGCATTAGTTCACACCCCTCTTGCGGTGTTTTCGCTTGAATTGCTATTTAATGAATAAACGGTAATTATTAAAATATACACAATAGGATATTTGAGAGTATGAGAAATCGTTACGGAGTATAATTAATCATATACATGTTTTGATACGCCAGTAAAAAAAAACAGTGGCGCTACAACCTCTTTAGGTCTTTGTCTCAGATTTCTGAATCTGTTTCATGTTCATTTTTAAATCTAATAGGCAAGTAGGTGATCAGCCTCCAGTGGCTGACACACGCCGTCGACTTTTTGGGTCTAAGACATGTCGGTTTCCTCACGATGTTTTCCTTCACCGTTCGAGCAAATGTTAAATAGAAAGAAATTACATTGGTGCATAGCCGGGGATAGAACCTGCGACCTCAGATATGAGAGTAGCACGCTGAAGCCACAAGGCCAACACTGCTCTTTATATATTACGCCAGTCACGTGACACAAAACGGTATTTGTCAAATCCTAATACTGTTTTGAGAATTAATTTCGTCGGAAATTGATTTTGATTGAAATATAATACAATATGTATGTGTGTGTAATTTAAAAATGATTATTAACACGTAGAAACTTGACTAAAGCGACGCCATCTTGCCTAGAGAAGGGTTTTGGCGGGTTCTTGAAATTATGAATATTTAATTCCAATTTAGCCAATCATAAATAATCTATAATCATTTTGGAAATTTTATCAAATAGCCTCTTTTGGTCATCCAAGACGTTTGGTACATAAATAATAAATTCATAAATAAAATTAACATATGAACATTACACGTATTCACCTGAAATTACGTGTGGATGCATATCTCAAAAATTACTGAATCGCTTTTAATAATACTTCGACTATTGCAGTTGGAATATACCTGTTTCAACCTAAATTTGACGTTCACTTTTAAAATGTTAAATAGATCATCATACTCAAATATTTATCAACATAATTGAATACATACAGGTCAGATAACCATTAAAGGGTGTTAATAATATTAAATTTTTATTAGATAAAAATAGCAACAAATTAAAACCTTGAATAGCCAGTTCTTCAGCCCTGTCCAGTATTGCTAGCGCCCTTTCCGGAAAGAATTCCGCATTACAATGTTGACAATGCGCTTTCTTGCCTTGCCACAACACTGGCCCTTTGCATGATTGGCATGCATATGCATTGAATAACATCTGGAATATTTTGAAAAAAATATTTATTTGTTTTTTCCCACAAAATTATATTTTACAGTTATTACTAATGCGATAGAACTACACAATATCTGGGCCTTGTTAATCCTGTATAAAAAAACGAATTTAATCTTATCAATAATAATAAAAGTAGCAACTCTTTTGATCTCAGCCAAACAAAAAGGTCTATCTCGATATAACCTTATTAATAAAGAGTGCCCTCGCGTGGGCGGCTCCCCGCTAAGTTGGTTGTATCTTCATCCAACAGTTGTGACCACCTCAGATTCTTACTTGGACCCGCAGATCCAATAAGAACCTTAAATAGGTAAACTCATATAGCTAGCTCTCTTCTGAGGCGTAGCTGGTGGGTATTTAAGCGAATACAAAGTATACACGAAAATAAACATTACTATTTTTTTTAAATAATTTTTCGAACTCTTGGGTTTTTTAACCTTTAGTAGTGCGAACTAAGATTTCCGTATGACATAATGAAAAACGTTAATGACAGACAAACATATTTGTTTTTGATAGTGAGGCAGAACAGACATTGAAGAAAATTCATCTATATGAGAGTTCATTATGTATTTTCAGAGATGACAATTTTTTCATATGGGCAATGATATTCGGTATACAGAAATAAAATACATACAGCAAACTGTTGTTGATCGCCATCCGCGCAGGCGCTGCACATACATTGAAACATGTACTGCGCCCGTAAGTGGGCGCGTCTTTGGGCCGTTGGTTCACGTGCGCGATGCGGCCCATAGCAGTTAAACACTTCCGCTCCGGCCGATAATTCGCGCGCACAACGTATTATTAATCGATTCTTGTAGAAACTGTAATATAATTTTTTTCTAGAATAGAGGCAAATGGGCCAGCGACACCCGATGGACCGACCCGAAACTTATCGAATTATTTTCTCTTACAATCTGTTTATGTGTTATTTAATTTAATTAAAAGTAGTTTAATTTAATACCTTTATTAGGGCTAATAGGCATTGAAGTTGTTTTTGGCTCACTTTTTATCATCGTAAAATTTACTAAGCACCAAAACAGCTCCGTAATTTGAAGAAGAAACTAAATACGATATCGTAGAACTAATATTTTTTTAAATTTTATTTATTGAGAAATAAATAAAAGAGCTTATTATAAGAAGTATTGTCTTTTATTGACATAACTTTTACACATTTAAAGAAAACAAAATTTTTATCGGATTGAAGTTATGTATTATTATTAATATAAAAAGTACTAATCAGTATTTAAACGACTTTAGCTCGTTTTTTTATAGACACTAATACTGTCAGAAAGCTCGCAAGTCGCTGGGTTTTTAGGGATTGTTACACTATTTTCTTGAAGGACCTAAGTCGAAGTGGTACGCGCCAAAAAGTGCCTTTAAAACGCTGTTGATTATGAAGTAAAAATTTGTATGTTTGTAAAAATCTACTGGATGGGATGTTTTTAAAGTCTTTATCTTTTAAAATAGTACATTATTAGTAAAAGGCAAAATATATTAAAAAATATTTTTACTCACGTATTAACAATATTGGGGTCGCAAGAATGGTTCATCATTGCAGCCGAGGGATATATGGCAGTTGCACGGCGCACCTCTCTCTCTGTAACTGTACGTCCTAGAATAACGTGTTTTTTTATAGAACAGACAGAACTCATCTGATGATGAAATCAAGAATACAAAAATCTTTTCTTGGGGGTTTAAACAAAAGAAAAGAGACCTTTGCACACTTTAACATTTTACAGTAAAGTCGCACAGTGATTATTTATTTACGTTACGTTAAATAACATATAAAAAACCGGTTACATAAGTTATTAGGCAACGAGCGGCCCTTTCTGGCAACCCTAGTATGGAAAATACCAACTGAGGGAAAGGTACAAGAAGTGCATAAATAATTACCACCAAATATAAAATTACATGTAACACTATACTCTGATTTTTAATTTCGTATAATTTTGACAGCTATCATTATTTGTCATGTCAGAGAAACTGTTTGGCCGGGCCCATTTTTCAATTTCAATACGAGTCTGAACATCTGAGTCTATACATACATTTTATTTGTTAGTTGTTGTGCTCCACATTAAAAGTGGTTTAACGGCGAGTGATAATTACTTCCCTTTTCATCACAAACAGTAAAAAACGCAAAAGTTAAGATAACATTTTTTTAACATAAAATTTAGTACAACCTGGAATTAGTAGGCAGTGATGCCAGCTAAAGAATGAAATAAAGTAATTAAAGTTGATTCGATATATTGTTCGTGATATTTAAATATTTGTTATTTTTGTATTAGGTCACTTGAGTAAGTACATATTTAGATTTACCTTTTTGTAGGTAAATCATAAAAAATTCGTAGCATTTTTTTTTAATGTCCTCGAATAAGTCCAATTTTTCCCTTTATCGGTGAACTTTTTTGGTAGCAACACCTATGAAATGTCAGAATTCTACGTAATGAAAAATCAGAGTATAGAAATATACAAACAAAAACTAAACTAAAATGTAAAAAAAACTATTAATAAAAAAGTAAAAGCTAATCTTAGGGTTAATTAGTCATAATTAATATTAAAGTAGCTACACACATTATAAAATGGTTAAATACAGAACAGTAACCTCTAACTGAATATTAACATTGTCTTCTCTCATTCCCAAGGTTTAAAATCAACACTCTTCCAAATTCCATCTGTAAAAACCAACCTAGGAGTTTAGGCACCTCATTCGAATTCTTTGTGAATAAAACAGATTGAAGGGTATCAAGACCTTGATATATTCAATACCTAAGCGCATTAAGGGAATAAATAATTTTTTAATAGGTTTTCATTACTAGTAAACATATTAAAAAGAGTGGCGGAGAGTTTATTGCCAGTTCTTCTTTTCCGTTCTACGAACTTGATTTGAGAACTGGCACTAAATGTAAAGTTAGAAGCATTTCATATACATTATACATTTATTTTTTTGACTATCATAAGTGTACAGTTACCTATATGATTAAATGATTTTTGACTTTGACTTTATAATGTAGAAAATGTATTATATAATATGATGTGGTGTTAATAAATATTTCTATAAATAGACTTTTTGTATACAATACCAGTTCCGTCATCGTAAGTAGAAAGGCTTAACGCCGCGTGTCCATTGCATACAAGTTGGCCCATACATCGTAACATAAAAGCGGCCGCGAACATTTTCCTCTCCCTATCACTCAATGGACCCGATTCAAACGTCTCAAAGAATGACGTATACCTCTCCAAGTATAATATCAACATTGTTGCGGTCTACAAAAAGAAAAAGAAAATAAAAAGTAATTGCAGTATAATCTCTAAAACTACTGGACCATGACAATCATGAAACTTGGACGGTTGGAAGTTGAAGAATACGTGATTCAAAAATACAGTAAATACATACCACAGCATACTGTACATAATCGCTATTGTTCATCTTATCAAAGTTTGTAACCAAATTGAACATCCTGTAGAAGTCTGGCGTTTCAGCCCTGTATATGTCAATTTTGTCAACTTGACTGTAGCTCTTGAAAAGTTCATACGCTGTGGGCTTTGCCAAACTTATCGGTGTTGGTAGACCGTGGTACTGACTTATCAACAGCACCCTGTAATGAGAACAATAGATTAAAAATATTTATAAAGTTTGCATACAAAAACGTGTCAATCTCTCCTGTCATTACTATACTACGCTGATTCTTGCTCTTCCGATTTGAACTGAATTGTCTCCAAAATTTCTGTGTCCTTTTGATATTCGGTCTAGGAAAATACGACCACAAAAAGCGGTCGTATGCTCGTGATTATCACGTTCTTCATTTCTTATATTCCTTTGTCCTGTTCAATCCTAAAACTCGTCCTTACTTCAAAAACGATTTAAAATTCTTCCTTTCATGAATCCTTTTAAGTGCTCTGCAGTGAGGCTATGGTATTCACTTCCTGTCCCTATCCGCTTAGCTCCTTTTCTACTGTACTAGCATTACCTGTCCACATCGTATCCCTAACTTTCGTACTAACTGATCTGAATTATCGTGATTAATGTGCCCTTTTCTTTTCATTTCATTTTATGTCTTATGTAGTTTTGCACTTCCTTGCGCTCGCCTTATTAATAATAATTAATTTTATTTTTCTGACAGTGGTAGATTTGAAGCGGCGATCTCTTCTAGGCATATCGCTATAAGGCCGCCAGTTACCCTACCCTCCTTTTAATTTAATTAATTTAATTGTACTCTATTTCTGTATTACAGCAACGAAGTGGAAACAAATAAATACAATAATTCTAGAGAAAATGCTTTGATTGGTGTACAAATTATATTTAAATTGGAAATCCTGATCTGTGTCTTAGCGCCATATCTCTTCAATAGGGCATCGGAGAAATTTTCTGTTTCATATAACACAAATAATAATTCTAAACGTTTTAAGGCGATAATCACGAGACAAGAAAGCACAGCTCCGACATCTGTCGACAGCAAAAAACTAACATTGATCAGAATATGCCATACCGTAAAGCCAAGTGAGCGATGCCGATAGTGGGGAAGAGGTCACTTTGAGCTCCGACACACTCCCACTTATGAAACATGGTGAATGCTGTACTCCTACAAGCTTCACTACAGTAAACGCTGCGTGAACAACTACTGCATCTAAAAAATACATATTAATAGTTTTTGACACCAATTATTATCACCATTAACCAAATTTCTAATACTTGCCACGCATAAATAGTGAAACGTAAACCAATGGTAACGTAAAATTGTAGGATAAATTAAATACTCATATGTGGAGGAAGAAATGAGACATTTTTTATTGCAAACTGATTTTACACATTAACAAAAATAATTGGTTACAAAAAGAATTTAATTAAAAAACTAACCTTGTTTTATTTTTATTATTTATTTATTTAAATTTTGTTACATTAAAAAAATACAAGTAACATAAATTACTATTAATGATACAGTGGCGGCCAGTAAGGAAAAACCTAAAAAAATTAAGGGTAAAGTGCTGGAAGTGCATACCAATTCAACAAAAATACAATATTATAGAATTATCAAACTTAATCTAAAGTAATCCAAAAAAGAAGTAATAAAATAGACTAAAAGCCAATCATCATGAATTACAATTCAAATACAAAAAAATAAGAAATTAATGATAATGAAATTAATGATAATGATTTGCTTTACTTTAATTTTTAAGATGACCCCAGGATAACGTTTATTTGTTTTTTTTAGATTATTTTTGTATTAGTTATAAGATTTCTTTTAGTATTAAGGAACTTTAAGAATTGAAAACTGGGAAATAAACATATAACTTTATTTTAATACATATAATACTTTATATAACGACGCTGAAAGAACGAATACTATCTCATACCTAATAAAAGTATTTTATTAGCTATAAAGATAATATTAAAAAACAAAATTTATTTCAATTAAACCGCCATTTATGGCTAAGTATTTTTTGTAAATTTATCTACAATGAGATGGCTATAGTTTCTTGGAAGAAGTAGACCAAATATAAAGACATTCTAAGAAAGAACATTTTAAAGGATAACAATTTTGTTTTAAATGACTCACGGTAATGGATTAATATCTGGTTGGCAACACATGTCACATACTGGATCTTCAGAAGGCAGCGTGACCCATGCGTAAGGTTCTTCTGAGAATAAAACGTCACCACGCTTTAAAGCCTCCTTCACGATCACATGACGTCCTACTGTGTCGTTGTTCCTAAATAAAAAACTAAACTGATATATTGTTATAGAATGAATTAGTACAATTTTTTATATATTTTTTCTAAATAGTTATATTATGTTCTTTTGTATCTTCAGTTATTAATGTGTAATATATAATGTGACATTAAATTATTTCTCATAACATGGATATAAATCAGAGACATACTTTAGTTCTATTGACATTGACGCTGCATTGAATTGTGGATTGACACCATTACGACATTCAGGTAGTACCACATTATATTCATCAGGTGAATGTGTAACTTCTCCAGTATTTATTTTTCTTTCCAAAAGTCGTACATGACGCTCAAACTCAGCTGTAAAATAAATACAGTCTCACTAGAAATATGTTTTTGAACCATTGGCGATTTTTTTTCCGTTTTATTTGATACCTTACTTTTACTTAAGTTATATACTTATAAATCTGACATACCCATTTGAATAGCTGACAGTTTAAGAGAAATTGCATGTTCTGAGGCATGTATAATAGATGCCTGGGCATTCTTAGTCTGGTTTAACTCGATGTAACAATCAGCCTTTCGTAAGAGCAACTTATGTAACATCTCCCTCTTGTAACCACTAGCAATGGAGAGATCTATATCGGCAATACATTCCTACAAAATAATACAAATGTTTCATAATTCTAAATTAAAGTTTAAATAGTTTGGTAATGTAAACGGACAACAGATTCAAATTTAATGTGTTGGTTTTAACACCGTACAATAGTTGCTAGCTATTCTGTTACAAAAATATTATGAAAATAGATTACACATTTCTCTTGCCAACCCTTATAACTCACTCTTACTCAATGTATATTGCATTACAGTATACAATGAAAGATTATGTCTTTCCTTACCTTGAATCGTTTTAGTCTAAGCAAAGCAGCAGATCTGTTTGCAAGAGCTAAGGCATATTCAGTATCATTCTGATTAGCATATATCACACTTTTGGAATAGCATTGGTAGCTATCATCTATTAGGTTAGCATGATACTTGTCATTTCCTTGTTGTCTCCATAAAAAAGAAACTTGGTTACATTTTAGTGCAGTATCACTTTCAGATGTCTTCCTCGCATATGATAAATTCATTTCATGTAACCATTGCAACATTATTTTTCTGAAATATGTTAACAATGTAGTAAATAATTAAGCGTTTTACGATTATATTATTACACAGATAATGATAATCTTTGAGAGAATATTGAAGGTGTTTTCTTAATTTTATAAAAACTATACGACTGTATAGTTGATACTTACAACAAATTTACGTTAAGTAAGCGACCGGATTTTTGGAACTAATAACTATTGCACGTAAATTACATGTAAAAATTATTTATTTAGGTAACTATACTTACTTAACACCTTCATTGTTATAAAAATAGTTCATAGTATCGATTTCATTTTCGGTTGTTCTGTCGATGTTTTTCTCTTCTGAAGACAGCAGAAGCAATAAAACTTCCCATTGTTTTGCACAATCCGGTGATATATAGGTACGTGCGCTCATCGTTGTAACTTTAATAATAAGAACTCACATCTCAATATGTCTAAATTATGATAATATTATGGTTTATGTTTTTGCGGTACGCATTAGAAAAAGTGTTGTTAGTTGATACTTGTTTAATTCGTATTTCGTAGTCACAGAGTGCTGTAAATAATTGTTAAAAATGTCAACTGAACTACTATGATGTCAAATGATGACGGCTTACCACAGAGCATGCTACTAAGGTCTTCGTAAGATACAGTATATGCACCTTAGTAATAATCACAAAAACCTTTATTTTCCGATACTTAAATTAATGCATGTTGCACCTATGATATGGTAATTTACATGTTTTACAAGTTACACAGACCAAACGGTGATAACCATGATAATATATATTCTCCTAGCCTGTGGGCTCTGCCCTTAGCTGTATTATCAGTCATAGTCATTTATCAAGGTCACTTATATTTTGACATAATAATTTTCAGCTTTAGGTTTCAGTATAGTGTATACGATTTTGTATTGATTTTGTGGCCTTTCAAGCTGAAACTTAGGTTGAAGACTTAAAGTTTCTGAAATAGAATTCATACTGGTCTTCCACATACAAGTGATTGATCGTAAAAGTTGTAGAAATGTCCAAAATTCTTGAGGCTCAGGAACATTGTAAAGCAGCAGAAAAATAGTAAGTGAGAAAAGAAGTTTTTTTTCATTATAATTTAACGTTTGTAATTTTTTTTACTTGTATGGATATGTAGTTTGACCTATTTAAGCATTTATATTATACTATTTTTAGGATAAATGTATTTCTTATATCATTTTCAAAGAAAATATGGTATTTATTGATTGTTTTTTTTTTATCACCACCATTACTTGTATATATATATTGTGAGTGGGAATAAACTCAAGTTCTGTTATATTGATTGCTCTCTGGCTTTCCAACACCAAAATCAGCTTCGTCAAAAAGCATCCATCCCATGTAACTAAATGAATTTTCCAAGTTCTCATTATCAAATGAAATTCAGAAGTGATGATATTGTATTGCTTGTATCTCTTAAATGTGCTTTCAATGTTAGAAATGACTTAAAACTATGCACCTCTAGAAAAAACTGTTCAGATTTTTTACAGTTATTCTGTTCAAATTCAGGTAGATTAATTATGATAAGATCATGCTACTAGTTAAGATTATGTAGGCTGTAATACCCTCTTTGGCATATACTGTCAAAACTGTTTATATTACTGAATTCTTTTTCATTAGTTACTTAATAACAACGTCATCAGCTATAGCTTTTTCAACCAAATATGAGTAGTCCCTTCGATGTTGTTATAACAGATTTTGACTGTTGTTAAATATTTTACTATCTTTTGGGTGTATCACATATTATTATGCCTTTAAGAATAAATTGTCTTTGTGAAATTTTTAACATTTTTGATATTAACAGTTTAAAGACTGGTTTGCTGAAGTGGAAGCCAGACTATGATTCAGCTGCTGATGAATTCAGTCAAGCAGGTATGTGATATAATTATTTATTGTAAGATATACATAACAAAAACAAGAGTCTCAAATTAGAACAGTAAATGTTTAAAATAAAAGTAGTAAATGTCTTAAAATATGATAGTAAATTTGTATTTTTTCTGATGCTAAACTCATTTGTTGAATGTGATTAAAACAAGTGGTATAAAGTTTCTTGATGTAAGAATTGGAACTAAACTTAATTGATTAAGAGACATTATTTTATATATTCATAAATAAGTATACAAAATATATCTATAAGCATAATTTATGATTGAATTTTTTGCTTATTAAGATAAAAGAGATTTCAGGCTGTAGATTTTTAATACTTGATAGGTACAATTAGATATTAATGGTAAATTATATGTTTTGTCTAAACTATACATATGTGTATTTTTTTTGTCTCTCACATGGTTGCCTAGAATATATTGCTTGAAAGCTATAAGACCGTCAGTTGCCCTCCTTTTTATTTAACAATGTAAATTGTACCATATACATATATGTATAATTACAATGTGTTAATTAATTAATGTTCATTAATTAATAATTTGCGGTACATAAAATACCACCAATCCATAAATAATACAACTTTTTGTAATGTATATTAAGATGAGAAAAAAAAGACGACATGTATTTCAAATAGTAATATTTTATACATTTGTTTTAAATCAGCATTATGCCGAAGAAAAGATAAGTTATTGTATAATAATTTACATATGATTTATTGTAGCTCAATGTTACCGCATATCCCGTGATGTAAAGAACTCCAAGGATTGTCACATGAAGTCCGCAGAGCTATATGAGAAGAATCGTTCATTCTTTCATGCTGCTAAGGCTATTGAGAATGCAGTTATTGTCAGCAAGGAGTTGTCTTCACCTGAGGAAGTAAGTTTTTCAAATTACTTATAGACAGGTGATTTCGAATAATTTAATCGTTTGTTTATATAGAATTACTTATAGTAGGGGAGCCCACGATGCTAAATAGGGATTTATTGGGTTGCGAAGCTTAGATAATTATAAGAAAAAAATGTTATATACAAAAACCTTTTCATCGGTAGGGGGAGCGGCTAAAAACTTTCAAAGGTGTAAAAAACAAAACTGTGCCATGGACATACTCGAGCGCGTCAGATATTGATAGCATCCATGTCCTGTGTATTTTTAATAATGTACGTATGTTAATCTGATTGTTTGCGTGGTGGGGGTGGTCGTACGTAAAGGGCCTGATCGACGGACGAGTAAGACCGCGGTTTTATGGCTCGTGGGTAAAGCTCGCCGGTGTATCATTGCAAAACCGCCGAGCCTGGCTCGCGGCTCGTCGTCGTGCTATATTTTTTACTCGGCTCGCCATGCTAAACCGCATGTCGATCACGGCCGGAGAGCCGTCAGCCGAGCCGTCACTTTTCGACGACAGCGCTAGAGGACGGATGTGCGCCAGAAGAGCTGTGTACCTACCTACTACAAACTTCGCGTGCGTGCTCAGTCCGTGTCACAATAATGGATCTACGTACTGCAGTGCGACAACTCTACCACAATATCAAGTTCAGACAGCTACAGATAACCAACAATTTGACTCAGGAAACTCAAACGAGCTGTCATATCTTGTTTCAAATGTTTTACCATAACTTTGTTTTTTTTTAAATATTGTTGCATTGTTCTGAAGTAGCTACTGTGAAAAATTTTAAGTTCAAATAAATATTTTCCTTACCTTCATGTATTCGTTTTTCAATGCACCGTAAATAGTTTTGCATGTCTCTGGAATAATTCTTCCCAAAGTTTGCCTAGATATTAAAGTAGGATACTGGTTTGATTTTTCCCTTCTGCCAGGTATCTGATTGTACCAGTCAGACGTTCATGTGGAGAAATAGCTTCTCGCATTACAGTGTCTTGTTTTTGTATTAAAGGTGTCACTAAAGATAACAGCTCGTTGTACGATTCCACAGAGATTCTCAGATAATTTTGGTAATCAAGTGGCTCTGCTGCCAATTCTTGAATTAAATGGGTATACCCAAACTTTAGGGCGTTTTCTTTTTTTTTTCATAACTGCGTAATATCTTTTGGCGAGATAACACAAGGCTTCAGACTCGGAACAAGACATGTTTGCGACTGTTTTGCTTGCTAATCGATCTGCACCAACGAGCCGCGAGCCAGGTTCGTCGGTATTTAAAACCACGGTCTTACTCGCCCGTCGATCATAGGCTTAGGGGGTAAAAATTAAAAAGAAACCGGAAGAACCGGTTTACTTCGACGATATTCTAAAATATTTAAAAAAAATTCTAATGTTTATAATGTTAATTTTATTGATTTTTGCAAAGTATTTTCACCACAAAATACACACTTTATGTTAATATTACTCATAGTTAATATTTTAAAACTAATATAGGCATCACGCAGCCGCACGTCTTAAACTTTATCGACGAATTTTTCTGACTTTGGCTTGTGGAAATCGTCAGATTATATATTTTTCGTCATCCTTGAATTATGTCCTTAAAAATAAAAAGTAAAATCAGCCACGCTCGAGAATGTCGGGATGACATTTTTTTTACAACTTTGCAGCCCTCCCCTTTCTCTACGTTACTTGCAAATTCAGTCAGATTAGTGAAATATACACTTCGTATATTTCACTAATCTGACAATTTAGCATGTAACTAACTTAGCCTACCTTAATCTGATGCGCTCGAAAAAGTCTGATTATTAAATTTTTTTTACTAATCTGATCCTTTATCCTTGACGGGCGACCATATATATGGGACTCATATTTGGTAGAGATACTTAACCAGGTACCTCCCTGGTATCTCCCTGTATATTAATCTGCCACGCTGAAGTAAATCCCGAAATCCCCTCTTGGGCTCCCCAGCTATTAAAGGTCTAATACATTTTCTCTATTACCAAAATGTGTTAAAACTAACTTAGTAATTACCGTAAAGTAATATCATAAAAAATACACTTTTAGATTTGCTATTACGCCGAATGTCTTATGTTTTTATTCTGGTAATAGCGAATACGTCAGTATGCTATATGAAAGTCCTCTTTTATTTTGAGTATTCCCGTATTTTTTTTTAGATCAATGTTATTTTACACAACTAAATGTTTTGTACAAAAAATATTTTAATATAATAAATTTATGTAGTTGGCTATAATACTAGTTTTTTAATGTCAGTTGTACAACATGGCATGCAATTCAAGCAGCTTGTACCAGCAACATGGTTCAGGAGATGCTGGCGCAAATGTCCTAGACAAAGTCGCCAAGATTATTGAAGAGAAGGCTCCCGATCTTGCTGTCAAGTTATTCCAGCAGGCAGCTGATGTGTCTTCTGTAAGTTATTTATTATATACATTGATCTATTATGTTTATTCAAAAATATATATAATTACTCAACACAACTTTCTCTTCCAAACATACATAATAATCATCACGTAAACTACAAGATTATGGTAATGTTGTATTGAACTCTACAGAACGATGAGTAACGGAAACGAAACGAAACGTTATTATAAATGAATATAGAGCGATATTCACGATGATAAGGTCTCATTCATCCATGTATACTTGCTATTTTTGTAACCAGAGTTTTTTAAAGCTTTTATCTATAACAAAATTTAAATGAAAAACGTCTTTAATAGGTCGAAAGCTCTCAACATCAAGGTACAGAATACATAAGCAAGGCGTCCCGACTTCTTGTTAAACTGGAGAGATATGATGAAGCATTGGATAGCCTTAGACGTGAGATTGGCTTCCATCTTGAATCAGGTTATACTGGGGCAGTGGGACGACTTACAGTTGCCATTGTCCTCGTGCAACTGGCTAGAGGCGATGCTGTGGCAGCTGAAAAGGCTTATAAGGTAAAGACTATTGATATTTTTTTATTATGTCATAATGGTTGTATAGGAAGAAATTTGTTCACTTTATTTAATTTACTATTTTGATACTCCTTTAACAATTCAATATTGCTGTTTATTTTGTAATTTTATTTGCGAATTGTATGTCAAATGCCTGTGAAGCTTAGGCCATGTATTTTGGTTCATTAGGAATGGGGTAACAATTGCGAAGTGCCCGAAATGCAAACCTTGGAAATGCTCTTACAAGCATATGATGAAGAGGATCGTGATGCTGCAAAAAGAGCGCTTGCGTCGCCATTTATACGTAGCATGGACGTTGAGTATGCGAGATTGGCGGGAACTATACCTCTGCCTGAAGGGATTGAACCTGTTCCAAAAGCAGCTGTAAGAGAAAATGCGGCGCCGTCCTATGTCAGCGTAAATATTGGCGAAGTAAGTATAAAGTGCCTATGATAGTTTATTAAAAATGAACTATAAAATGCAATTATAAAATATCTTTGATGCTCTTAATGATATGTTTACATGGGATGGGTATTATCTAACTTCAAAAATAAGTGGTCAGATTGTCATGTTCTATTTAGGCTTCCAAGTACAAGTTGTTAAATTTAATCATTGTGTTGGTCCACAAATTTTTAGTAACCTTATGGTATACCTTATACCTATTTGATTTAATAATAAACGAATACTTATTACTACTTAGAGAACTGTTCATCAAAATCAATTCGGTAGTTGTGGGATTTGGGACTTGTGTAACACATAAATTTTGACAGGTATTTGAAGTCGGTTTAATTTTTTTTAATGGTATTGGCTATTGGCTTGAGCGTGTGATCGCTGAAGAAACTTTTGTGAAGAAACCGATATGCCTTAGACCTGAGAAGTATATATTATAATAATATATATTTCTTTCAGGGTGAAGAAGCGAACATGTCACGAGCAGAGGTAGAAGAAATCGATTTCGCTGATAATAGAAAGACCGAAGAAGAAGACGATTTGTGTTGAATATCAGGTATTATCTCGGTGTTCCATATGAGGATTATTCCTAATTTGCACTTTAGTTGTAAATTATTGCATAAATTGTGTTGATATGAAACTAAAAATCGATTTGTAATATGTAAAACATTTGTTTGTATTTTACATATATTCTGCACTTTGTTGTCTGAAAATATAGCCTATTTATTCAGGTATTCTAATTGTTTCACAATTTTGACATCTGTTCAGTAGTTTTTGGGTTTAATTGTCACAAACATACATATATTTCCTCAGTAATATGGAGTCGTGAAAACTAAATCAATTTATTCACAAAATTTTGCATATATTTTACTAGTTAAACCGGCGACCCTGGTTCTAGTTCCAGACCAGTCATTTTAATCTTATTTATCGATACTTTCACGCCTTACTGTCGAAAATCAGTACATTTAGAAATGTATTTCAAAACACGAAAGTTTATGCCCTCACTCTATAGAAGTAATTTAAATTTTTATAATTGTTATGTCTGTTTAAAAAACCGTAGTAGGTATAGCGTTTGGTGGTTTTGAATAGCCAATTTGTAATATAAAATTTCTGGATATAATCTTAAAGAAGTCGGTTATTTTAAAGGTGTAGTTACTGCAGTTGTCTTAGTTAATAGACAGAAAATATGTCGAATTAAGTATATAAATAATACTTCAGGAAATAGCCGAAAGAATTACCTCTTCATATAATATTTATCCATACATATATGTACTTAGTCATCTGTTTGGTTTAGTGAGGTAAGTAAATCGCGCTAGATAGTGCTTTTTAAAGTAAGAGGGAATTCTATTTATCATACTAATGTTTTAATTGTCTGTTACTGCTAAATGTATCTAGTAATATATCTAGAAATTTGTTTATTTAAATATGATAACTTTTAATATTAAACTTGTAGTGAATAACCGATTTTGAATCTAAATGTATATTTGACATTTAATTGAGACCACATTCTTCGGTCTATATTCTAAAATTTAAATCAATCTTGAATGTAGTTTTACAATGGTTTAGATTGATACCTTGAGATATTTCGATTCAAGGGTAATATGCTCATAGATCGTAATATCATATATTTGTATTACATATGTATGTACATATTTTTAGGGCCTATTATATACTGTTGAAGCTTTTCGTAATAACTAATTTTATATGAAAGTTAATTTCATATAAGGATGCATTTATTTGTATGTAGATTTGCTAGTTCTATTTGAACAACAATATCCATTTAAAATTTCATGTATCGTTAGTAGGATCGGTGCAACAAATGTTTTTTGCTTGTATAACTTGTTATATCATTCCATGTAATGGGATAAGTCTACGCCCCGTTATGGCCTATTTCTCTATGAATTTCTTCCACAATATACTCGCTTAGCAATGTAATGTGAATAGACACTACCATCACAATGCACTTTTAGGCATCACATTCCTAATTTCTGGGTAACGTACTCCTAAGACTAAGACGCTGGGAAAACTACGAAAAACTGCGTTATCCGTTAGTTTACCAAACCACACAAACTTTTAAATAATTCTCGATTCTTTCAACCCTTAAAAAAGATTTTAATTTTAAAATGAATATTAAGTACCTACATTCTTATTCTAGAACAAAACAATTGGACAGTAACAACAAGGAGAACGTAAAATATTTTTAACAAATTTATTGAAGGAAGACATTGAATTTTCTGATAGGTTTTCATATTAAATAAAAATAATGAATTTAATTAGAGATGTTTGTAAATTAAACGCAATTTGATTGATGGTAAGGTCACACTTTAGATTTAAATGATAATTGTATATTTCAGGTATAATAGTAGTGTCAAAAAAAACCTTAGTATTCCGAAATTTAAAAATAATACTTTTAAAATAATGGTCACAGGTTTTCGGTAACATCCAACCAGCTTTATGAATTTTTAAAACATCCAAACACACTCTAACGTCGCTTGTTACTTACTCAGAACCTGGAGCTTCACTTTCTAAATCATCTTTAGAAACGTACGTGATTTGTTAAAAAGTAAAAAAGTTAGTGTGTTGTAATATTAAAAGCATATGAAAATATATTAGCAATTTCCCCTTAAAATTAGGTTATGATATCTAGTTTAAACATTTTTGTTTAGATTAATATAAACATATTTATATAAAATGTATAAATTTGAATAAACTTTTACATGAATAATATTTTTCAATCTGACAGATTGATATGTTCCAACGTTTTGTAGTGATTCTAGATATTGGGTTCTTATGTTATATATTCTGTTAGTTGAGTTCTATTATAGTAAATACATCCATGCATAAATGTTAAATTAGTATTTTAATATACTTAATCATGGGAATGGAGAAAATGATATGTAAATTGAACATTTTGGGAAGAGTTAGGCCGGCTTGGCAGATTCAATCTTAATTAATTGACAATGACAGTTAACATGAGAAAATAGGCACAGCAGATTTCTGCTGTTATTTAGTTGTTTATTGTTGTGTTGTGTATATATCATATATAAAGAGTTTACTTGGTTATAACGATTAAAAAGAATTCTAAGTTAGACTGTTTCTTTGTTAAATAAGCAAAACATTTCACAGACACTACTTTTAAGCTGTATTTAAAAAAACATGTAATACATACTATATAGGAAATAATTTCGACACAACGGAACAGATTTCAATTTGACATGTATTTTTTATTAATAGGAGATTACCTGCATTATGTAAACTTTATTGTATAGTTTAAGTGTTATGGATCTTTACAAATATTGTTTATGTTGATATCATGTTATGTCAATTTAAAATATTTCGTGCATAAGAATAAAGCTTTCAATGATTTTGTGTTATCATTTACATCTGTTATTTAGATTAAATTGCATTAAATTTTAAAGAGAAGTTGGATTCAAGCTGCCTTGTAAATTATTTAATTTTTGTGTCAGCAAATTACTGACTTCAAAAACAAAATGTCTTCAGAACTCAAATCTACACTAATGAATACATACACTAAATATCAATGCATGCAGTCCTCGAAGCAGTGGCGTAGCTATAACATCTGGGGCCCGTGGCAAATTCTTTTGATGGGGCCCTATCAGTAAAATCGTCACATTGTACTCAGTTTAATTTTAATAACCTATATGTCCCACTAATGGCCATAGGCCTCCTCTCTTAGGCGAGAGGGAATGGTCTGTAGTCCCCACGCTAGCCTAATTCGTATTGAATTGCATACACATTCATCCATAGAACATAATATCTCTTGGTCAGGGGCCCTCTTGGGTCAGGGGCATTGTGCCAGCTCTGCCACCCTATTGTTTACCCTACTGCCTCAAAGTGTATTCATTTATAGACTCCACTAAAAGCAATTGTCTAAGGTAAAGGGTAGAGATAATAAAAAAACACAGTTTTATTCCACATAATATATTTTATAAAATCATTTTGAGTCCTGTTTATCAAATTCACATTTGCAAAACGAGCATTGTTTACACAGTGATCAATTAAAATCCTTAAATTCTAAATACTTAATTGCCTTACATACTATATTAGTTAATTCTAACTTAAACAATAGTTTTATGAGAATGCTTAAGGTTTTAAGATTTTTTCATGTCAGAACTAAAATAAATTTACTAACATTCTAGAACAATGTCCAGAAATATGCTTGCTTCACTACACAAACTACGATAATATTGTGATACAACTAGGAACCTTTGAGGATCATAATAGGATGAAAATCGCTTTTAAGATGTTGCCTCATCATAAGCTGTTTATCACTTGTTGTCAGTTTTAAACAAGACTCCTAAACAATATGCATATGTACGTATAAGTTTAATTGGTATACTTAATGTTTATCTGTTGGTTGCTAGCATAGCTGATTATTCTCAGATCATGCTGTGATATTGGACATGCTGGTACTACAAAGGACTTAAAAGCCTTTAGATGCTTTAAAATAAATAGATGTGTTACAGACAGAGCATTATGTTAAACATTTATATAGTTAAACAAAAATGTACCTAGTTTGAGTGCAATATTATAGAATTGACTGCAACACATTAGGATTTAAGTATAGTTCTATTATTCAATAGATCAAAAAAGAATATAAAGGTAATTATTGTATGTTTTTGTGACTAAACATAGTATGTATGTATGGAGGCACCATAGCAGGTACAGATGAAGTTGCTTCTGGTACAGGTTCTTTCTCTTTATTATTTTTAGGTTTTCTAAATTGAAAACCATTTTTACGAAGTATTTTTCTCAGTGTCTCCCTTGAACCCTTAAAATTTATTTCTTCTTTTAATATTTGCAAGAGTTTGTTAATGGTAGGTACTTCTTTTTTAAAGGTATAGAATTCATGTATCGTTCTCTCAATTACTTGTAGATCATATTTATCAACTTCAATTTTGCCTTTTGTGCGTACCCTCTTTTTAGGATTCTTTTTCAAGGTCTCTGGATCTAATAAACCTTGTTCTATAAGTCTTGCCTCTTTAACTATGTTTAGTACTGTGCGTTCAGATACACCTATTAAAAAAATCCATATAAGGTTGTGATACGAAGTTATTTAATATATTACAAAAATTTATAAAAACCTACCAGTTGCAGCAGAAACTCGAACGTATACTTTACTAAGTGGAATAATAGGAACTTGCATTCGCTTTTCTTCATCCATAAACTCTTTCACCTTTAATATAATTTCTCGAACTTCACTCGTTATATTTTTTGGCATTTTTACAAATCACTTATAAAACAAATCCCAATGAATTGTAAATGTTAAGTTATAAAATTAAATGTCTATGTACATATTAATGTAAATTTGTAAATATTATAATCAAAATTCAAAGATCCCGAATTTATTGATTTGAGTTTGAAGTTTACAAATAGATTACAGGTTATAGAATTATAGTTCTTAAATGTGACACTTACTGACTGTCAGTGCCAAAATGCCAGATGCCACTTATAACAAAGTTTGTTACAAGGCGCGCTATTTTAAATAAAGGCTGACCGAACAAACTGATGATAATATCAGGTTTCTAGTCATAATGTTAAGTATAAGTTTTATTCACAAAAAAATTTGTAGTAGTAGAACATTAATATTTACTAAATCTGAATCATTTTGTTTATAATTTATAAATAAGGTTAATAGGTAGCTTTTGTTCAGGTATGTTGCAATTGCCTTAGTATCATTTTATTTGACGATCATACGTGTACAATGTGTTACCTATATGATTAAATGATTTCTGAATTTGAATATAATATGTGTAAAGAAATATAAGACGAACATCGCGAATATTACTATTAATAATTAGGATGTAGTTTTTTTCTGTGTAAAGTCTATGGTTTATTCAATATTGACGTCGATTGTCGTTATCAAAAGGAATGTTATGGTTACTGTACAGAGAAAGTGCTAATAAAATTTAAAAACACGCAGCAAATTTTAATTAGTTGAACTTATAAAAATAATATAGGTACTGTCTTTACTTAAAAAATACTTTTAGATTTGTTCAGTTGGTCTCGTAAAGTGTAAAAAAAGTAACAAAATTGTTTTGAAGTTTGTCAATAAAAATAACTCTATTACTTTTAAATTTTGCTCGAAACTTGCTATAGTTTAGCTAGTACACCGTTTTCAAATCGTCTCAAAGAATACAACCATCATGGCAACAAAATTCATCAACAAGCTCATTTGTGTAAATAGTAATATTATTTGTTATTATATTTTCGTAAGCTCTTAGCGGCACTTACTTGACTTAAGGTCCCATTTACATGGTGGACATCTAGGGCAGAGGTCATCCAGGACAGAAGTCCAAATATAGGGTCTATTTTAAATGTTATGAATACTATGCTTTGAAATCGGTCGCCCGAATTCGATGATACTGATTATGCAGGACCTTGATTGGATCACCTCCAAGTGATTTTTGTTGCCAGAAATGCGTCTAAGTATTTAAAAAAAAAGTTTTGTGTAATGTATTGAAATTTGTAAACAATCCGACATTTTCTACTTTTCTATTGGTTATAAGAGATGTGACATCCTCGGTAAATTAATCGATTGTGTTTTAGCATGAAAAAACCAATGCACTAAAATAATTGATTTTATTTATTCATCGATTATTTCCTCACTTGTTAATTTTAAAGTTGAACCTAATTTAACCATTACAAAATAAATTTGACAAATAATTATAATAAATAAATAATCTGATCTCAATTCTAGTGTAGTAAGACCCTCGAAAGAAGGAAGAAAAAAATAATTGTTGGACAGCCCTGTTTCGACCTCATGAGCTTAAGCGTAAGGAATTAGGATGACTGGTTTTTACAGTAATTAAACTCAAATTTACTTTAGGTGTCCTCAGAGTACACTTCTTTTCTTGAAAATGTATGGACGTCTCTTGTTTGGAGAATCCTTTTATGAACATGCGTGCTCAGTTATGCACGAAAAGGATGTCTTGGATTTGGAGATGAGTGGGAACAGTTGGTTCAAATGCTTAAGAAGATCGTGGGCGGATTTGTTTCTGCTCTCATATAAAGATGAAAGAGCACAGGCTTATTACACGAGCAGACACGCATTGAGAATGGAGAGGGCAAAGCAATTTTATATTTATAGAAAGTGTATACATCCGTTGAGTAAGTTTAGGTAACGGTAAAAAATTTACTATTAAAAATCGTGTAAGGAAGACATATTTTAAAGTTATAATATTCACTTAAGCTTTTATAAACTAAACTGTATTGCTAAGAAGGAATAGGGCGGGCGGTTTTTAAGTCGACAATTGTTTTTTGATCAAATATATTCGTCTAAAAATTCGTCTTCAATTTGAAAAATAAATATATAAAAAGGTTTATATACCTTTATTATGTTGTTATTTAGTTTAAGGTTAGTTAGTTTGTATGCCTATATTACTTCTCTGCCCTCTGTAAATATAACGCCACCAGGATAAACTATCTGATGACTTATATTTTTAGAGATAAAGTAATTGCCAATGGTGCGTTTTTTTCAGGCAATTTTGGGATTACGCTATTGTGCCGATTGTGATATTAAATATGATTATATTTTACCACAGCACATCGCTTACGTACGGTGAGGCTGAGTGGCAATTTTACATGGTCAACGTATTTCTAGAATGCCTTCTTTTTCTGGATATCTACTATAGTTTGAGGACTGGCTACGTCCATACGGATTCAAAACGAATAATTCTGAATAGTAAAAAAATATTGTTACACTACGCTTCGACCAAGTTGTTCTTTCATGTTTTGGCCTCCTTTCCTATACAAACAATCATGTTCATGAGATATGGTAGAAGTATTAACTGTGCTATCTGTAAGGCAAATAAATTCATTATTGCGTTGCAATTTATTGGCATATTTCGTATGTATCGATTAATCGATGCCACAAGCCAATGGAGTACATATAGAAGGTCTGTACAAGTGACGTGCTCGCTTAAGTTTCTTCGTATCGCTATTCTTTGTTTTATCTCTATGCATATTTTGATGCGAATAGCTGATATAATATCTGTTCTTAATATTCTTTCAAGGGGCAGTTTAAGCTCTCATTCTTTTTATGCCTCAGTATTGAGTATACGATATGGTAGAGATCCACCGCCGACACACGTGTTCTACTGTTTAGACTTTGCAAGAATCTGCAAGTCATTTCGACTGTTTAGCTTTAGCCTCACTCCTCATGCTTATTTTCCGGATAAGATGACGTCATTGCTCGCGTATTTGGTTGCCATGATGTTTTATATGTGGAGTCTGGTGGAGTGCTATTTTTTATTAAGCTACCTGAAGTATCCCGAAGACCAAATGTACACTTGTGTAGACAGAACTTTGACTTTATCGCGGTGGAGAAGGTTGCCTGACAGTTTTAGTAAGAAGTTATTGACGTATTACAAGTTTAATATGACAAAGCTAACTGTAACGGAGAGACAGAATGGGATTTATAGAAGTCTTCCAAAAAGTTTAAAGAATGAAATTGCTATATCCTGCAGTATTCGCTTGTTTATGAGAATACAATATTTTGCTGAATGGCCGTCTGAGTTGATCGAACAATTAGTAATGTGTCTTAAAGAGGAAATATATTTGACAGGAGATGTCGTTGCAGAAGTAAGTATTTATTAGTAAATTTAATGCGTTTTCAATCATCTATGTTATGTCGCGATTAGTTTCCTTCGTTTTTTATTATTCATAAACTGTAAATAATTAAAACAGCGACTTACAAAAATCTTTTACCTACTTGACGCTGGCTAATGCACAAACCGTGCCAGAGCCATAAAGGAAAAAAAAAAGTATTACGTTTACTGGTTATTTTATAGATTAGTCATTAGATTTAGGAATAAAGGCGATATGTTCAGACATTGCATATATGTTCACTTGGATTTATAAATCGTAACTAAATCTATGTTTCTTTGAATGATTGTATTTTGTATTGCGTCATGTTTTTCATTGTGAGATTTTCTAACAGAATTAATTTGTTCCTGTTATGTTTATTCAAATAACACCTATTATGATATTAACATTACTAAACAACGTATTAATTTTTTAAACTTATTAAGGAACGTTTTATTTTTAGGCGTTATTGAGTTGCAAGTATAGTTTGTTCAGGCATTTGGAAGTTCATAAGAAAGCTTTTAACTACTAGGTATATATGTATATAAGACGTACTATGTGTAAGACTTGATTTTAATAATTTCATCTACACTTTATATATAAAAGATTTAGACAGAATCTTATATTACAAACGTGACCTAAATTTAGCTTGTCTTCATTTCAACTATATTTATACATTATAAATTTACTGGTTTTGCACTTTATGTGTTTTATTGCTTTTGTTAATTAGGGCAGTAATTGTTTTTTAGGCATGTAGTTCTAGATGTAGGTATCAGTTTTAGAAAACCCTTTTTTATATTTTTTGCATTATATTTCTGGAGTAAACATTATATCACACTAACATTTTTATTTACCTTATATTTTGCATGCTTTTGTTATAATGGCAGATATAGCAAGACACTTAATCTATAAAAGAGTCAATAACAAAAGCTTCTTTCCTTTATACAACAATTATAATTCGTCTAATTCCACTGTTTATCAGAGGTAGTCTTCTGTCTCTTATTATCACAAATAATTTATTTAAACCTAATTAAACGTGTGACGACTCATTGGTCTAGTGGTTAGTACCCCTGACTGCGAAACCATGGGTCCCGGGTTCGATCCCCGGCTGAGACGAACATCGATGTGATGAGCGTTTGGTGTTGTGCTTAGGTCTTGGGTGTTTAAATATGTATTTATATGTCTATCTATCTATAATATGTATGTATATCCGTTGCCTAGTACCCATAACACAAGCTTCACCAGCTTAGCATGGGACTAGGTCAATTGGTGTGAATTGTCTTAACAAAAAAAAAATTGAATTAAATATTTTAGTCTTCCATACCAAGTGACGGTCTTATGATAATAGTTGTGGGTGTGTTAGCAATTTATTCGACACGAGATGAAGAGGTTGGCCATTTGGTAGATGGTGATTACTTCTGCGAATTATGCCTAGTCACGGATGGGGAAATACGTATGTCCTCGGTGATCGCATTAACACCGTGCAAGGTACTGTTCATTTATCCAACCTCTCCGGCTCAGTTAAGAGCTATATGTTTATTTTATTTGTTGATGTTGGTACTAAAATTAGTATTTAAGTTGTACTTACTAAAATGTTATGTTATACTTTTTAGTTGAGTTAAGGAACTTATATTACGAGTATATCTTTTATGCAATTCATTGGAGATACAATCTCATGAAAACTTCACAATCTGGTACTATGGTTGATTGCCGGATCTGATCCCTTCTTCGGCCTTGATTTGAGACTATTATGTAAATTTAGAATTTTCTTATAAAGTAAATAATATAATTATTGTTTAAATCTCTAGTACCGTACTTGATGATTACCATTAATGAATTTATCTGTTTTTGATTGGTTTGGCTGAGTATAAATACTGTGATTTTATTTTCCTTGCTTTTTCATGTTTCAGATATTGTTTCTGGAGAAAATAACATTCAGAAAATTGCTGAGATCATACCCAGAGCTATTCTATCAATTGAAGGATTTATTAACGGAAAAATACACATCGCAGCGTCGAGCCTCTATTAACCCACTTCCAGTAAAATCAATGAATATTTAGTTTATTACTTTAATTAAAAACATACAACTTAAGTTACACGGATTTTTTGCGAATGGTTCCTCAACCGTCCTTCAACTATAATATGTTGATGGTAGTGAATGAAAAGAGTACCGAGAGTTTTTTACGCCGGCTTTTTCTCTCGGCCTACACCCTTTGTCTTCTTTGCCGATGAGAAGGGATGCCTACAAATTCAAATTCAATAAGTGATACATGTATCTTTTTTTCCATAATAAACATATTTTAATTTTTTTTTAAAGGGACGCACGGTGAATAATGTGGATGAGATGGTTCTGGGATATAAATTTTTCGAATCTAAGTTTGAAAGGTGTAAATTTTGTTTTATTATTTATTTAGGAGTTTTGAAGCTATTTGAGGTCTAAGGCATATCAATTTCCACGCTATTTTTTCCTTTACCGTAAGAGCGATAATTGCGTTGACGGAAAATCCATTGCTGCCCAGTAGAACCTACGCCCTCAAGGATGAGAGTCGAACGCTGAAGCCACTGAATGCACTGTATAAATGTTAGTTTGTAAAAGTTTAGGGAAAATCTTCAGTGAAAAAGTTTGGTAGGATAATCCGAAACCTCCTGTAGTCCACTTTTATTGGTTTAAGTTTATATTTATTTATCAGTATTCCTGCAGCTTCTTATTATACAATATCTAAACAATAACACAAAATATAATATACACAAAAGCCAAAAATGGAATACACATTTAAACATAAACATAAAACACACTTAACACAATTAACAAGTTAATTTTCTCCAAACATTTAGGTTTGAATATCATTGTAAGTATTAGTTATTTTTATTGTTTAATATTATATATAAATAGCCAGTTACCTATTTTGTTTTGTTTTACTTAAATAATTTATTTATTTACACTTCGTTCTTATACAAAAACATATATATAAAAAAGCAGATTACATAAGTTATTAGGCAACGGGCGGCCTTCTTGCAGGCAACCCTAGCATGGAACAATAAAAAAAGAAACACCCACAAAGTACAAGACGTGCATAAATAATAAAAAAAAAACAATGTAACATGTAATACTTACTATAACTAAAATAAAGTAAAATTAAAAAATAATAATAATATAAACAAAAATGTAAAAGCTAATCCTAGGCTATGAGTCACAATTAATATATATAAGTACATGGCTAATTACGAGGCAGAAGATAAATGATAAAAAAGAAGATTTTTATATAAACTAAAATACTGAGCTCGTCTGATATCAAGAGGTAAGGAGTTCCAAATTACCTATAATACATTATCCATTCTTCCGTCCTCCGACAAATATTTTTCTGGGATGAGGTTACTCAAATCAATGTATGTAGTATTTACATTCTATTCAGACATAAAATTACGTTCGCATTAAAAAATTAGTGGTTACAACTTGACCCACAGACGATATCCGCATTCGTCTTATGATTATTGTTCCAAACGCAACAGATGTCGCTCCTACGTGACCGACATTGTCAATAGATGACCAAATGTTTTCCCAATCGTGACCAAAGCGGGCCATTATAGAAGTAAGGTTTTATGAGAGCTGTGTAGATTCCGCGATCGTGGTCACCGCGCGAGGAATGCGAAATAGTTTTTTCCTTTATTTTAATTAATATTCACGTAAGAGGCGCGTTACAACACCTGGCAAGTCACAAGTGTTGTACAATGTATGGAAAAGTAAATCGAGGCATTCTAAGTAGCCAGCTAGCGGACGGTGAATTAATTAGTGTGTATGACCAAGTCAAAATAAAACTCGAGATTTATTTATTAAGAGCGTTTCTATGCATCATTTTATTCATCTTTGCAACCTATAGAGTTCACTAGGAGTATGAGCGCCTTATGTATCACTTATCAGTTCCGCCTCGTGTCAGTTTTGTCCCCTAAGCTAATAAAACAAGGCATTAACTGTGAAATTCCTTTACCTTTAAAATATTTAAACTCTAACCTTTTTGGTTACTCCTCCGTGTGAGCTAAATACATTTGGTGTCCGTTTCCTGGAGGCAATACTTTGCATCCATAAACGATAGTTCTTTATAGGTAATAAAATATCGTCAGTGGAAAGTTGCAATTATAAGTTTACGAAGCCAATGCAAAAAGTGATAGTAACATACATCAGGTATTTCAAGTTCCGAAATTGGGTTTCTCGATCAAGCCTCTTGGATGCACTTCCCTACTTTTTTGTAGCAATCACTGTTACGTGCCAAGGATATTATCTAATGTAATACTCTTTACATAATTGCGTAGCCATGTTGCGAGTTGAAATTAAGGTAATACCAAAATGAATACGTGTAATACTTTAAATACTACAGACAAATATTTAAATACATCCTGGAATCGACTCGGCTAAACCTGTAATAAATAGTAATTTCGTCCAAAATTGTACATACTAATGAAAACCTATTTTAATTCAACGAAAAAAGTATTCATTGTAAACATGATAGCAGACACATTTTACCGATGTTTTCAAAAACTGAACTTTGACCTAATGTATGGCGGTGGTAATTACTAAATCACGGAAATTTAAAATCTTAGCATGAGCTTGAATCAGTTTATTAGTCGAAGTCAGCTCCTTCCGCGATCTCCATGTAAAGTGTTCGGAGGAGTTTGGATACCTGCAGCTCCTTAACGTGGCCAATCTTAGCCGAATCTTAGAGAAAAGCAAATAATTGATGCTGTTAAGAATACCGTGAACCGCTAAACCAATGCATCGATCCTTACCCAGCTCCTTATTAACCTGTTTATCAAATATATGCCGACAACGCATCATTTCGAAGCTACCTAAAGAAGCTCATCGTGATTGGCAACACCGAAGGGAAATGATCGCGTGGACGTTCGCCAATAAGATAGACTGATAAAGTCAAAGACTCGTCGTCCACAAAATTGTTGTAAAAAAAATCGCAGAACCGAAATTGGTTGAAGAAAATGATTCGCACCAGATCTTACTATACAGCTGAACACGGTACTCAAGAGTCACCGACCCAGTGAGAGAGAAATGGAATAGCGATTCTTTCATTATGGACATTATTTTGAGAGAAATGTAATCGTTATAGTTCAACCGTGAAGTTTTAAATGAATAATTATGAACAGGCAAGAATAAATTAGCGTAAAAGATTTTCTGTGGTTTAAATTATTGAAAGATGTAGCTGTGTTTGTGGCTCTTGAGTTTCACAAGGTAACAAAAAGCTTTAAAATATTTCTATGAAGTCTAGTTTGAGAGTAAAATTTCTCAGCAGTGCGGGTAGTCTGTAACAATATTGAGTTTTGTTACGGTGCTTTTGAAATAACTATTCCTATAGGTAAAGTACAAAAGCTTAAAATCAAAGTCGTGATCGCTATCGATATTCAAAGTATACTCATACAGGCCAAAACAGGTTGATAAGCCAAGATGTATATGTTCGCACTATCAGGCATTTATTGCTTAATTCAGACTGTACAATATGAAACGAGAACTAATGCGAAATCCATTACCTTTTAGACGTTCGGGAGTCATAGTTCGTGCCAAGTGTTGACTGTCAGTCAGTCAGAAGTCTAAGGGCTGAGTGTAACTAGTACGTCAAAAATGTATTAGATTGACATACGATCGTAACGCTAATTTACTCTTAATCTGAGGATTTGAGTTGTTAAGAGCGCCCAACCCGTCTATCTTTTCATACAAAATTACAAACGCTCGTACGTGATTATGGCGTTGTAACAGATATCTATTTGAAACTTTTGAACTAATAGGCATCTTGTGCACTATATCTAGGTTTCTATAAAAACGCGAAATCAAAATTTTAAGAAACAAATTCAGTACAAACCTCCAAAATTCTGCCTTTTTGCACAAATTTTATATGAAGTTTGGGCATTTATAATGTACTCATTAATTGTAATCGGAAAGAAATATTTGCAAATGTAATGGAGTTTTTAAATGTAAAACTTTTTTTTCACAATCTTCTAAGGCTTACGAAAAAACACGTATTTCTTGGAACAAGTTTTATGAAATTTCCGCACACTATTTTTCTATCAATGTTATCGCGTTCTCACTTGTTTGTTAGCCAAGCTCGCGTTGCCATCCGTCGGACGGGGAAGGGCGCTCTTAATTACGTTACCTCTGATCGCCAGTTGTTTTGCTGAATTTTAAAATCAAAATCAATCGCTTTAAGAATATTTATTGCACGTTCTGTTTGAAAGCAATTTGCATACTGACACTTAAAATAGATATATTAGGTATTAGCTGCCCGTCCTGGATAGGTATAGCTGGGTTTCAATTGCGCGGGGGTAAGGTAGCGTGTGATGGTGAAATAATTTTTGATATCCTGTAGTTGAGATTATTTGGTACAAACTAAAGGGTGAACAGTTGGCCAACATTAGTCTAGCTTATAACGAAATAGCGATATGTTTACCAAATGCAATGTGTATTAAGTTTCATTCCAATGGTTACGCAAAGATTACATTTATAGTCTAATAACATATTACTGTGAGAATTCCATACTTAGTGATGGCATCCGCAATTTTTTTGTTTCCCTTTCTATTCATATGGAATAGTCACGGAAGTGGATTGTTAAAAATGATTGTTGTGATAGTATAAATGGAAACAGGTTATTGCCATAAATGGTCGTCGGACATTGACGGCTTATAAAACTAATGAAATTAATTAAAATCCGACTACAAATTAAACATTGCTACCTATGTATACCCCTTCAGGAATACCATGTTTAAAAAATGTTGAACCGGTTTTGGTGATAATTGGACTGTTCCTTGAGTTGAAATATACCTCATTTAAATTACATCTCGATATGACTTTGTTTCCGAGAAATTTGTTGACCAATGCATGTTTTAGCAAACTTTTCCAAGCCAGTGCAATATCACACCAAACTGATACCTCCGTTTTTGTAGTCGGTTAAAAATAGTAGCATGTCTTAATGGCTGTGTTATGCTAATGAAGGTGAACGTTTATCAATTTTTTTAATTTCATATTAGAAGACGCAATACGGCATTCTTCGGCCTATTTATCGGTATATAACCTAATAAAATTTAATATGTCAAGGTTCAATAACCTTTTGTTTTTTAGAATTTGTATAACGACATAATTGCATCAAGTGGGTGCGGACCAAAATAATTACTGGCGTTTTATTAAATAAAAGATCTTAGTAGGTGGGATCACTGTAGGAACTAGTTTTATTGTAACTATAATTTTAGAATAAGCTTACAGAAAGCACAGCTTTTAGCTCTAGCGAATACGTGAGGCAGGTCGTTGAAAAATAGTTTTTAAATTAAAATCATTGTTTACTACTAAAACAGATTATTACAGTACTATTGCTGTTAACACATGGATATTTGACCCTTATCATTAAAATTTACGACCTATTCTCAGGCAGAGAAAAATTCAGATCGTGACACAAGATTCTACATATATAGAATACTTTTTACGCTAAGACGCACCTCATCTCATGCATTAGATTTCACTGCAACGGTGATGGCGTAAACACGATGAAACCAGATTGAGGATATGTTACAATGTTGCCAAACTATTTATAGTTAAATTGTTAATAATATCTCATTTGGTCACGCACTGTTTCGCGACTTACGGTCCGCCTGGGAATCAATAGTTTGAATGTCAAAAATCACAGGAATAAATATGAGTTTCTTAAAACAATCGTACAATATTTTTTCAACCAAATGAATCAGATATTTGTCAAGGATGTTATTAATATTATAATGTTAGGTAAATTAACCGAGCCTTTATGGCTCATGTATAGGTTCGGTGATAAAATAATTGTTGCGGATTGCGAGGCGTAGAGGGCTGATCACTTTAGAAACCATCACTGAAACAAAAGTCAATGGTGACTTCAAACACAAAACAAATACTCAATGAGTCAAAATGGCTTGGATTTGTTATGCTAGAAATTGAAATGTCTAGAATATTCGCACGCAATTACGATAGTATTTCCCGGTTTCATTATAACGCAAAGGTTTCGTATAACGGCGAAATTGTGTGGACCTCCGAAACGGATGAACGGATCTGTATGATTAAATGTATATACCGCAGTTAGAAAATCCCGCTAGGAATAAATGTCAAACCGCGGGCTACAGCTAGTCATAAAATACTTTATCTGCTATACGTATATAAACCATACTTCTATATTTTTGATAGTTATTGTAATATTTTTCCAGGCAAAATTGCCTAAAGCCGCCGTGGTTCTATTGATTATTTTAGTTCTCTCAATGATTTGTAAAAGTGTTATACTTTACTTACCATTAGACTCTTTTCTTTCTATAAAAAGTTTGCAGCTGCACTTTACAAGTCCCCATTTAAGTAATTTTTATTACTTCTATACTTTACTATAGGTACTCTTCGCGGCAGTGTTAGCCAAGCTCTTAATTCTACACCCTGAGTTCATTGATCGAACCCGGCCCTGCAATTTTCTATGCTGTAACTAATACTGCGTACCAAAAATCTAGGTGGGTCAGAAGCGGAATGTTAAAAGAATATTAATGTAACACGTGAAGATCTAAGAGAATGTAACAAAAACAAGGGTTCCAACACTACTCTAGATACATTATTATTATTAATAGCTTTTTCCAATAAGTGGGTCTGACCTTAATATCATTTTGTAAAATCCGGGAACCACTAGTTTAAGAGAGGTATAAAACAGGCAAACAAAATAAATATTTACCTAACACTAATCTGTTCATCAGCGTAAGTGTATTAAATGTTCTCACACGGTTTTAAGACTTTTAAGTAATTCATACTATGTAAACAAAGTCAATAAATCTATTTCTTGCGCATACGCCCTAAAAGTCGATACTTTGGAGCTGTTAAAAGCTGAAGTTATCATATATACGAATACTCGACGAAACTATTCTGAAGTTAGTGCTGTTGCCTAATGGGATTAAAAGAACATCCGAAAATTACTGTATGTCTTTATGAATCTAATTAGGAACATTGCTGCGAGGTACACATCTGTCTATTAGAAGCTTTAAAAAATTTTTTAAAAATTACAACACAAAAGAAATCTTTCAAGTAGTCTCTTTGGACTGTTATAATGTTTTCTATAATATACGTATATATATGATAATGGTTTTTTACATAAGGAATAAAACTGTTAGTTATGAAATTATTTTCGCAGGGCATAGAAATCGCAATTGCAATAAGTACAGCTTATCATAAAAAGAATGAAGTTGCTTACACAAAAGTGATACACATGATAATACATTGTATATTATTATTTCATCTAAAACCTTACACATTTCTATAGTTTTCTATCATATGTTTTAAAAATTAAACATAATTAAAGTTCCGATTAAATCGATAGTTACCTCATAAAATTTTGTATATCCTATGAAAATTCCCGACGCTTGTACGTTTGACTTTTCGAAATCACTTTAATAGCAATCACTTGATCAAGTTACACCCCACTTTGACAAGCCCCACCGAAATGTGAAGGTGCTTATCTGTGTTCCTTACACCATAGTAATCGACCTTTCTAAAACAGCCGGGTTGCCGGTTAGTAGGGATGAACCAAGGGGCAGAATTATGCAATTATTGGACTCGAGTAAGCCATATATAAGCATGGCAATGGACTGTGGTGAGTATACAGACAGCAAGTGTCAGACTAAGTGTAGCTAATCAGTCCAGCCAATTACGCAAGATGTACGCGAAACTCGCTGTAAGTTCAGGCTTTTATCAGTGTTAATCTTACTTATAATTCTGTCATTTAAATACTATTAATAATATATACATCATCATCTCCGTGCCAACATGGTTATCTTTAAAACAAAATTATTTCCTAGGAATCATTACGCATAAGCTAACCTTTACGTTACGAGTTACGGACTATTGTTTATACATTTTCCGGGTTCACATTTAAAGTAAAACTGTTTAATAACGATGCAAATACAGGTATTTTAGCATTAAATGCATTTGAATTTTCAGCTCTTCACCCTCTTAGTCGCCGTGGCCGTGGCAGTGCCAACACCTGGAGGCTTCGGTGGACAGTAAGTACATACAAAAATTATCAAATTGAAAGCAAATCTAGCTTCAACAACTTTTTGATGTCTCATTACGTTCATGATTACTTAATGTTTTGACATTACACATCAATGGCATGTTTACAATCTCCTTATAATCATTGATAAAATATATCTAATTATTTTAGATTTGAAAGATAATTGTTTACATAATTATTATTCAGAATCTTATGTATGTACTCTATTGTATGATTAAACAAAGTTTAATTGTTGAAATTTAAATGTTTACTGAACAAGTTGTGTCAGTAATAATACAAATGAAAAAATGTATAAAACAATTTAAATACATCCAAGTGAATAATAACAAAATATGTACGTAAAGTCCAAAACACTAAAAATTTCGATTCAGATTACGTAATTTGCAAAATTTTTACTTTCTGCACTGTTTAATATAAATACAATTATAAGTTTGCGATACCGTAATTAAGATATTACGTATGAATCGCGAAAGGATTTTTTAAGTTTTGTAATCTTAGTGGTGTAACGCGTACTATGTCCGTTGAGAACCCTGACCACGAACAGGCATTCTCAATAAATAAAACAAATTATCTAAATGTTAATTTTTAATTTAACTACTTGCAGTCAGTAGAATGTTATTCATATACAAATTGGTATATGAATAACATTCTACTACAGCCACAATGGATAAATATGCATTGTGACTTTGACGGCAAACAGTCTTGTCGAAAGAAAATAATTACACATGTACTGGTACTAATATTACGCATTCTGATGCGACTAAAGCTGCAAACGGAAGTTAGTGGCACTAAACTGTCTATATGCAATAATTGATCTGCATAATCCCAGTGAAAGGATTGCTTTCGAAGCAGCCTTTGTTTATTAATGTCGGCTTATGTAACGATAAATGCTAAGAATTCTAAATACTATGAAAATTGTAACATGCGAATATTCACTATTTATTTAGATAAAAGGGCTTTTATTGGTTTTTCGCATGAGTTATACAATTATGATCGAGAGCGACCGTGCACGTCTTGCAAGCTCTGGTCTGTACCGGTTTTCGGGGCAAAGGGTCTCGCTGTATAGGCAGATACACTAATATAACAAGTCTGCCAGACGCCTGAGAAGTAGACTCTTGATTTCAACTAGGTTTAGCTTAATAGATGATATAATATGAGATCATTATAACTTAATGTTTTTGGGCTTGTTTGGTGAGTCCACACTTAACAGTATCAGGCAAGTTAATGAAAAAGTGTGACGTGTACAACTAAATACTACCGCTCCTATATAGGTAATGTTTCATTAATTGGCCGTAGTTAGAAATTTAGACGTCGAAATCGCTTTAAAGTTGTGCAACCTGAATGTAATTTATAAAATACATATGTAATTTGAGTAATATTTTAACAATGCCCGTCAAATTAGAGCAGAAAAATGTAGAGCATCACATGTAACAAGTTAATATTATTGCGAATAACTCCAAAACATTCACTTGTTGCGCAATAGTCTGTATGAAAATGCTGATGTTAATTGGTTTCAAATTACTTTAATATCAAGTTCCTAATTAGAGTACTTTCATCTGTTGTTTTATAAAGAATTGATTTGAAATTTATATGAGAATTAGTTTTTTTTTAAATAACTGGACCTCAGCTTTCTGTACCTGTTCTAATAGGCAAGTGGGTGATCATCCTTCTGTGCCGATTTAATGATTTTACCGTATGAGCAAGTGTTAAAAGCCATTCCATTCACAGTCAATTATTGGTTCCATTAGTTTAGCACAAACAGGGTTCGAAAAACGACCTTAGGGATGAGAGTCGCACGCGGTAGCTAACACTGCTCTGTTTTTTATCAATTCTCCCCTTAAAAATATAGTTACATATCTCGCGCTCATTGATCTTATTCAAAAACGTAATATCCGGCTGATTAAATATTCCCTTTTTACGCATTACGCAACATTCAAAAGCTACCTGAGAATTGTTCTAATTGATGTGATCTGTAAACATTAAAATCCTCTATATTGTGCCTTCGTTACAAGGTGTCCTATCGTTTATTTGACCGTTTATGCATCTAACTGCATTTGTTTCTAAAAATAATATACGAAACATCACACTTAGCTAGCCAGCCTATGTCATACGCGTCTTGACTTAACAATTTTTTTTAATTTTACTTATTCATGTTTTATGAGGTCATAAGCACAAGCCTAGTAGTTTATTACACAATACTTGTTAGTTGTTGAATGCGATCGCTTTCTCCGATGTAGTGAAATGGACAATTTTCTTGCGCGACAGAATTACTTAACTCGATGGTGTCCTAGTATTCCATAACTCACTTGGTGCTTTGAAATGTTACCGCGTAATAATGTAGCGATTTGTGCTTCCTAGTTAAAAACGTGAAAGTCTTATAAACATAGTGGCTACTGTTTAGGCATAATACATGCTAAAGAATGTACCATTGCCAAACAAAGAGTTTCAAACTTTTTCTATAGTAAATATTAACTATTCGATAGTAAATATTGATTTAGAAGTTTTATGAAAAATGGTTATTAGATTCCAGATTCCAGGTTCCACGAAGCAAACGTAATTGCAAACCTAAGTGCTGTTTTATTTAACATACTTATCATAGTACAATCTTTCCAGCAAGCACGTGACCATCCACGTACCGTACAAAGTGCGCACCATCCACCATCACCACGTCTCCAAAGTACCGGTGCCAATCCACGTACCAGTGGTAAAGGAAGTGCCTGTGATCAAGGAAGTGCCCATCTTCAAGCACGTACCAGTCCCCGTGATCCAGCACGTACCATACCCGGTGATCAAGAAGGAATACATAGAGAAGGAGGTGATTGTGCCTGTCCATCATCATGAAGAGCACATCTCCCACGGATGGGAGGGCGAGTCGTTGTCGCATGGCTGGAACTGAACGTCTCTGTTAATTAAGGAATTAGTCTAAGGTGGGTAATTTCTACATAATAATTTTAGCTTTTGGCTGGCTAGTTGTTTCAGTGATTTCAATTTAACAGCAATAATAAGAAGCTCTATCATGAGTTTGACAATGTTATTTTATAACAAAAATCTTCAATGGCTAATGCGTTTAAAGCTGGGTCTTTTTTCTGGTCAAATAGTCTCGGTTCGGAAGGATACACACCACAAATGTTACTGCGACACTTGTATCACGATGGAATTCATTTAGATAAATTTCCTAAATACTAATTAATTTGTTTCAGATAATATTAAGAACCCTCAAATCATCATTGTAAATACAAACAGTATTACTTATATACGGAAGTGTGAATGTATGTGGATTATGAAGCCGTATTTTCTTTCAATTTTAATTAATTTCAAAAATCATAGTTTGTCTGATCAATTTTATAGATTGTATAATTCTCATTCGTGTTCTTTTTAAGATGTCAATTGTTCGTAGTAAAATTTTTGCTAGATTTTTAAAATATGTATAATAATTTTGGGCCAAGCCCAAGTTTCAGGCTTTTTCCCTCAGATGCAATGCCTCTAGGCAATCAGTCGTATTTGGAATAACTTAACTTGTTTTTCTCTTATGTTTAAATGATACATTCTATTCGATTTAATTATATAATATTCAAATTACACGGCTGGAAAATTGTAAAAAACTGTACTGTGATAAAGAATTTGTTGACTCGATTTGATAATTGTAATTATGTTGGATACATGTACCTTGCTTAATACATTTGTATATACAGTAACCAAAGAAAATAAATGATGAATATTTTTTAATAATGGTTTTTAATTTCTCCATTTTAATACCATATATAATGGATAATACAATTCGGCATTTGTTTCATTAACTTTGCTCAGGCAGACGCCTCATTTTCAAGAATCAAACTTAAGACCTCATCATGTGTTTTACAAAAAAAAACACTGAGTCTTGCAGTTACATTTTTTACTATACAATGTAGTCTATAAAACTACAACGTTACGTTATCGTATTGGATAAACAAATCCAGTAATTTTTTCACTATAGAAACTTTTAAAAGTATTAATTTTTCCACTTTACATTAATCCAATTCAGCCTCGTATATTATGTCTTGCTTATCTGGAATAGTTTAGCGTCCACGAATCACTTAAAAAGTAGTTATGTAGTTAGTACTTCAATATAAGTTGTTTCTTTAAGTCTGAGTTCTGTCTAATTTTATAAAACTTAAAACTTCTTTAAAGGCGAAACTTTAAACACATCCTGCAATATATTGGATACAATTTATGTAAATTGTAGTAAATTATTTAAAATATACTAATAAATAGGTAATTCATTATGTTTTTGAAGTTATACTTCTTTAGGCGCGTTATGAAAAATTGAAGAGAGTGAAATTTTACGATGCGCGCGCGCACCGTGACACAAAATTAACAGAATGAAGTTGCCCACGGAAGATGCTAAGGCATTGGACATAATTTAAAAACAACATTCGAATAATAATAGAATTTATGTTACACTTAATGTAAGAGAATAATAATAAATATTTATTTATTTAATTTTTCGAATGTAAACTGAACTTTATTGACTATAATGACTCCTTTTCCAGTCTTTGATTATTTAATTGTAATTAATTATTTGCATGCAATCAAAAACTATTTTTAATAATGCCAAAGAAGTATAACTTCTTACGTGCGTACATAAGTACACGCACCCTTTTTTTTCAACTATCTTCGAGCAAATACTAAAATCTTTTACATCGTAGCCGTGACAGACGAATACGACGCTATTGAAAATTTTAATACCAATTTCGTTATAGTTAGACACATAAAGTTATAATATATACGGGTATAAATAAAACTTCTTTTAGATTGTTTTAAATGTATGACCTTATAACTTCAAAACATTGGCAATACATGTACTGTACATAATTGCTATCTTTTCCATAATTCTCTTAACAAATGACACGAAAGTTCATACGTTGAGAAAGTGAGAATATTAGTTGATAGTGCTTTATATATCGTAACTTGTAAACCTCTATAAAGGCCAAAGTATCCCTCTATCTTCACTGTATCAACAATACATTGGATTAAAGTAGTACATTTAACTAGATTTCTTGAGGTCGACGGAGTGAAAAATTTGTCTTCAGCTTTATGACTCTGTAACAAAAAAAAAACACCATAATAATGTAGTTTTTTTAATTAATAAAAGTAGCACATACCAAAAACATGACAAAAAGGAGTGGCATAGAGTTTAATGCCAGTACTGTCTCTTCGCCCTTAATTTGGGAACTGGTAGTAAATGCAAATTTTAACTTTTTTTTACATTGACCTTCATAAGACGTCTAGCTGAACAAATGCACCGTTAGTCCAGTGGTAAAGCACTCAAATTCATGAGGATTTTCATAAACTATTAAACTCTACGGTAAAATACGTCTATCAAATATTAATGAAATAGTAAAAATCAGCCAACTATGCCGTATCATTAAATTTGGTATTTCAACTAATAAAGAGCCTTCTATATTTTGTATAAAGTAACTTCCGTAACTAATTACTGTTTAGAGAGTCAGCTAATGAACACATCGTCTACGTCTAAGTTTACGGAGTCGGGTCCTGCTTTGCTATCTTCACAAAGGTTTAATTCCTCGTATCACCAAGTGGTGTGCACAAAAATCCTCTCTATTAAGTATATCTAATAAAGTAAAGAGAACATACAGATATTTGTAGTCTTCTCTTTGCTAAGTCGAATGGGTACATAGCGACCTTTGAAATGAAACCGGCAACCAGTCCTGCAATGCTGGTAGCTAAAAGGAGGTGTTCTGGTCTTGTCGGCGCCTTTATCTCTTCTTTAGTTCTATAAGAGTCTAAATACTCCAGTATTATTGGCTGCACGAATCCAAATACAGAAAATGTAATACCTACTTGAGGGCCAAGCTAAAACAGAAATAAAAACATTTGTATTTTTTTATAGAACAGGGGGCAAATGGGTCGGAAGCTCACCTGATGTTAAGCGATTATAATAATAATTAAACGATAAGCGACCGCCGCCCATTACCAGAAGCGTTGCAAGTGCGTTGCTGTCCTTTTAAGAATTGGTGAGGATCATTAGTCGGTTTGGTCTGCATATTTAAAAATTTAAGTTGTTGATAGATCATTTTAATAGTAGCCTTCTGTTTCAGTAGTAAACAGTTATTGTTTTCCACATAGTCGGGTCAACGCATTTAAAACTAACACAGGCAAATCTCGAGTAACTCTATCTGTGCAACACTTAAATTCATACAATTTTTTAAACACCTTCTCTTATGTCTATGTTTAAAGGAGAACTTTCCAGGTCAATCATTTCCTTTTTTAGTTCATAATCCAGGTAAACGTTTTACAAATGTTCTGTATAACTAAACTAGTTCCCTATAGTTCTATTCGGGCTTTAAAACATTTAGTTTGGGGTTTTAATCAAAATTGCTATTTTTTTTTAAACATTTACTTTCGTCTAAATAAAAATATTTACCATTAATACCCCAGCAGTCCAGCCCTCATAAAAGGCAAACAACCCACCGGATCTATATACAGCCTTCGCTCCATTAAACAGCCCTTTATACTGTTGTTGAACAATCATCTGACGAACTCTTATTACCTCCAGTGGGGTCACCAGCGTGGCGCTGCAGGTACCAGCACAGATACCGCATAGGAATTGCAGTATGTTTCTGAAATTTATTTACAGGTGCGCTTGAAAAGTATTGGACCTCTATCTATATAAAATCTTACAGACACATAAAATCTATCTCATTTTATTAAGAAGAAAAAACACCATTAAGGACCGATATGGTCGCCAAACTCCAAAAAAGTACATTGTTTCTTTCCATTTTTCGTCATCGTTTCTTGAAGTAGAGTGAATGGAAAAAATATATGGTGGAGTTGAGTAGTTTATGTATCCATTTTGAAAGATCGATACACGATTAAAATTTTAACTTTGCTTGATATAAAAAAAATCCAAACATAGCCAATTTTTGACACTTCGAATTCATTTTTTGGCGAAAATTTACATAGAACATGATTTTGAAATTTACACGATATATTTTATCGCAAGTCAAGTAATCCATTTCAGAGAAAAATATTACATTAATTTAATGTTTTTCATAACTAATTGTTATTACGGGCCGGCACGCCTCAGTGCTCCAGCTCTCCACTGCGCCCCGCAGAGTCCACCCCGAGAGACTGACACAGCAATTCGTGCTGGGATAAAACCTTAAGCTGCATTTTTCCAAACCTAAGCTCCACTTGGATACTCTTATATGCGAGTGGTGCTGGCCCCGGCGGACTTCAAAAGGTCGTAGTGCTACTAAATCACTATAATTACTATTACAATAAGCAATTACAAAACAAAGAATCTCGGTCTTCAGTTTTCCATTTACAAAAAAATTTGTTGAGCAAAAATGGCTCTTAATAACATTGTCATTAAAATATGTAAGGCGTATATTTACTTGTATTCCGGTTCGACCGATGACGATTGAAAAGCATATCTTGTTGTTAATTCGTACACGTAAAACTGGCTGCTTGTTGACAATATTGAGTGAACCTGATACAAACATAGTTTTAAAGTATTGTACGATGTCTGGTTAAGAGGCCTTATAATAAATAATAATAATAATAAATTGGTGGTAACCAGGCTTCCATTCCACAGTAAAGTCATACTGAGTCAAAACAAAAATGTACATATTTGAGTAGGCAACAAAATTTAAAGCTTCTAAAAAAAAACTAATCAAAACAGTCAACTAGATTCCTACAGAAATAGAGTTGTATGGGTGTATGTGTGTCTATGTGAGTGGATCCGGTCCCCCTGGATCCGGTCTTGCATCAACAGTGAAGCATGACTTTCAAGCAATCGAAAACTATAATCAAACTAATATGCGCCTTAATAAAGAATTACAAGGAAGATAAAGTTTTTTATTTGGATTGCAACATTAGGATAAAATTTTCGAACATATTGGCAACACGCAAAATGTGTCGAGACGTATACAAGATAAGACTGTTGTTTACTATAAATTGTGAATTAAATTTATAAGGATTTTTATGGACCAGTATTAATAACCTACTTGGCCAAGATAATGCCCATGCCAGAACGCTGTCATGCCTTCCTCGAAGAATATCTTTCGGCTGGTTTCTATCAACGTTCTCTGCCTGCGTTTACGTCTTTCCAGCTGAGTTCGGATTTTTAACACATCCAATGGTTGGGTGAGAAATCGAGTTACAATGCCTGATATACAACCTGCTATGATTTTTTGGTGAGGCGTCATATCCTCGTCTTTAGTGAAACCAACCATTATTGAAACATGGTTCGATGAAATTGGATTTTTTAATCATGATTTGTTATTATCATTTGTGGCCGTGACATTGGCTGTGTCAGTGGCGTCTATAATTTATGATTATTAATTCTTCTTTAGTTTTTTATTGCTGTCAACACTATGTAACGGGCGTTGGCGTATCTAGAGTCGTTTTCTATAATATAAAACTGACTTTTTCTTAGAGGTTTATGTATTTCTTTCCACCCAAAAAGAAAAATTATCAATTTTTAAGAAATCAATATACAGATCTAATTGATCGTAGAATTCGGTCCACTCTCACAGAAAATGTTCTATTTCTCCAACGAATACAGTTAATGTATTAAATAATCTTTATGATTCACGACGTGTGTATAAATTAATAATTTATTAAATTCTTTGTAACCTGACTATATCTAACCTTTATTTATTGATTTGAGTAAAAATACCTCAGTATAATTATACTGAGGTATTTTTACGTTAAATAATAAGTTATGTAATTACATAACTTAAATTATTTCTTACACAGCTTAAACCTAGCCGACCGTGTACTTTATTTCAATGGTTTTATGATTACGGTGGTAATAAAACTGAACTCAAAATAGCCTACATCAATTCAGCCTGTCCAAAACTTGAACAGCCTTCATCACTTGACGTCACCTTAATTCTTAACCATGAATGGAATTAGCAAAGTTAATATTGTTCTATACATTAATAATCCAAATTTGGCGCATAATTGCTTATTGTTTTGAGGCGCTACGGTTAGGCGTTATTATTCGAACAGACGCTTTTCAGTGAAGTTAACTCGCACACGGGTGAGTAATGCGTTATCATGCTAATAAGCAAAACATAATATATGTTTCTTATCAGTTGTGTGCTTATTATGCGAGCGATTGTATGTGCGATTTAAAATATATTTATTAAGAGTGGGTACGAGTAAAAATAGTTTGATTCTCAGTATTTGCATTTTTGTGTAGTGCGCAGTACTTGTAATATAAAGGATTTTCATCAAGTAAGTAGAAATTTTAGGTTTACATATAAGATTTTTAGAGGTGTACTCGGCGAAAACAATTTTTTATTATTCTAACATTTTACGAAGATTAGTGAACCAAGATTCTGTTTGTATTGATGAGAAATGTACTTGGTGATTCGAATTTATTTGTTGCCACAGCTCTTGTACTAAGCTTAGGTAGAGTGTAAAGGCAAAATAAAGTAATTGATTAAGAGCGAGTACTCTAGATTTAACAATTAACAAAATTAACAATAACATGCTAAACTTATCACTAAAGCATACAATGTTGGGAATGTTTTATGACCTTTATTCTTGGGAATAACGCCAGTATTTACACGAAAATGAACTAATTTGAACGACTTTGCCCAGTAGTAGTATTTATTTAAAGAATATAAATTTATAGAACTAATTAATCACCCCATAATAATCCCAGAAACTCTTACATAAATTACTATAATTCTTGTTAATCTTATGATATTACAGACTATTTAAATTTAATGATGATTCTTTGTAGCGAGTTTTTGTTAGTCGGTGTTGAATTCTTTGATACTACTATATAGTAATCAACTGCCCACTTCTACCTCCGAACTATTTCTACTTAGGGTTCTACAATAAAGAGCGTACTAATTAATTCATAAAAGGCCAGTAACACACATGCAAGCCCTCTGGCAGTGTCCATGGGCGGTGGTAGGTATCACTGAACATCTGGTGAGCCTCCTGCCCGTTTGCCCCCTATTTATAAACAAAACCAAAATCATCCACGGGCGCAAATGTTATGCTTGATAATATACATTAACATTAGGTATTATTGTCCCTCCTCTTTCATTTTTTTAACTAAATATTGTCATTTGTTATTGATAATATTTAGTTTAGTTTTACACACACATATTCAAGAACGCAACGTACGCACAGACCCCGGTACAGATATAATAGTTAGTTTCAGTGAAAATCACATTATTCCTATGCCGAGGAAATCATGTCCAGTAACCTGATGCCAGGAAATAAAGGAACCAGTACTGATGAAGCAATGAGAAAGGTATATTTCAATATTAGACGTTCTTGAAATTGTTTGTTATAATTAAACAGCTTAGCGTGTTTAAGCAACGAAAATGGACTTAATCTTATTTATGACAGCATTAGATCTAACGGTTACAATACTAGAAGTTAAAGTATGTTCTGATAAAATGATAAACTGAGAAAGTGTTGTTGTATATTCCTATTATGGATGTAAGATATGAACATATTACATACTCAATTTATAACCATTAAGAAAATAATATTAACTCTTATATTTTATTGATAGAGATGTTTCTGTTGTGTAAAAAATGGTACCATGGTAACCGACATGGCACAATCTACAACCTTTTATTATGTCCTTTAAATTTCTATTGCAGCTTTTAAGTATATGAAAGTAATAACGTCCAATCACTATTAGGTACCTTATTAATCAATAACAACTTAAAGTACCTTGTTCTGTGCACTTGTAGGGAACATTTATGGTTTCTATGTGCGAATGTTCATATAAACAATTATATGCGGTGTAAACTCTTTATATAGGCTTTCGTTATATGAAAAACTCTCTATAACGTAATTAGTTAAATTTATTAACCCAATACACATACATTAATTCTTCCCTCCCTATAATGAAATCGCTCTATAACGAATAAAAATGTTCGGTCCCTTGAAATTCGTTATAAAGGGTTTATACTGTATATGTTAAAATGATTTGCAAAACTTATGAATTCCTTGAGAAACTCTTTAATTATTTTAATGAAACACATTTCTCGGAATACAGATTTATTGTGTACCCTTGTTTAAATTTTTAATTAATTGCTAGTTTTACTTAGTAAAGTTTTAAATGCGGTGCTGTCATTCCAATGGGCTATTTCACGAGATGTCAATAAATATTTCTGATTATTTGTGTATTTTTTTTATTTCTGTTAAATATTTAAAATGCTTTAAAAATTCAAATTTCATATTCATAATTTCAAGAGCCAAAACGATTCTCTAGACAAGATGGCGTCGCACCATCAGTCATCACCATATATGGTTCCATGCTTATGCGTTACCAAATTCAAGTTTGTACGTGTTAAATGATTACTTACAAAAGTATTATATTTTGAAAAATAAAGTCTCCGGTAAAATTAAACCGAGAACAGCCCTGCGATTATGTAACTCACTTTTCGAACTCACACAGCGGTTTTCGCATCGGCGGTCGCTCTCAAATCAGTCGTGAAGCAGTCATTTTATGCTTTGGCATTCTGAAAAGGTGGGAGCTTGTAGTTTATTGTTTATCAGAATGCCAAATCATAAAATGACTACTTCACGACTGATTTGAGAGCGACTGCCGATGCGAAAACCGCTGTGTGAGTTACATAATCGCAGGGCAGTGTTAGGATTAGATAGGCGAAGACATATAATTTACAACACCGATTTACTGTACTTAACAGTTTTGTGTCACGTGACGGACTTATGAAAATTTTTAACCATCGATTTTTTGATAAATTAATGATTATTTACGCGTTTTTAAATAACATTTTATACAGATTACTATCAACAAAAATTAGTTTTTTTATACTGTTAAGGAGGACCGTTCGGTATTACACATTGATAATTTGTCTGGGAATTTATAGCTCTAAAATCTGCCGAGTCGTTGACGATTTCCTTTTGAGTTTCGGTATAATTAACGCATATAAAAATAACAATCTGAAGGTCGTAAACACTTCGCAGTTGCGAATCGCTTAGCTAAGGTATTGAAATTAGTCCGTAATATTTTTTATTACTTATTTAAGCTGAGGTAATGAATTATAATTTAATTGCATCACGTATAAAACTGACAACGGAAATTTAGCAAATGCATTCTTACACGTTTTAAAAACTGCACCAACGAAATTTCTATTGTTTTCTGTGTCATTACAGAACGCGCGACCTCTTCATCTACCAGCCATTGCGAAAAATGGAGACATAGGTAAATATACTCTAAAAAACACCCGTTACCTGGGATAAATGAATGTATAATCAAAATGAACTACCAAATCACATTTCAAATATAAATATTTTAGCTCTGACGAAAAATTTGATTTAGATGAAGTGTAAACGTTTTACCATATTTTTGTACTAAATACAGATAAACCATTTAATGAATGGCCAACATCTACTGTAAATAAAACGTCAATGAAACATGGGACCTTTGAAGATGATCAGAAGCTGCCCCCTGTAAGACCCCAACGAGGGATCAAAGCAAGAATAAGTAAGTATCTTTTTGTCGCTTGTATATTTCTCTTGTCGTTGATTAGCCTAACCTTCTAATCAGTTTTATATCATTTTGTATCGCATTGTTTTATACTCAATAGCAATTTTAATCTTGAATTAACATAGAATATATTGGAATATATGAAAGGGATGATTTATAAAATCGAGAGACAAAAAATAGATGGTATTATTGGCAGAATGCAGGCAGAACATGGAAATATTTACCTAAAAGACTAATGATACTGAAAATAGAATTGACGTGATTATCTACTGTTATAAGGATGGGATGGTTCATTTATTTAAATATTTTAGACTACCGGAAAAGAAAAGTGTCAACAGTGACAATAAAAGATTATTTTGATAATAACAGGAAGAATTTAGAAAAATATATTATGGAATTTGTGACTGTTGAAGAACTGCAACAGTGGCTAATCAGGAAAACCATCTGTAATAATGTAAGTGTTATTACAACATACATTTTACGAATAATATACATTAATGTTTTATTTTGACATAGCAAAGATACTTAGTAAAAATCACTTTTAATTATTAAAATACATGTTAATTATTAATAGTAATAAATAATAAATCAGTTTATTAATATCTTTTCAGTGATTAAATAGATATTTCCGATTATTTGTTAGTATATTTGTCTAATACAAATATACTTAAACTATAGCAAAGTATCACTACATCACTATATATATATTTAAAAATATCGCAGAATGTACAATAATATGAATAATTAAAATCGCTAGTTTCCTACTCTTGTATATGAAATGATATGACAATATCTTTTTATAGATGTGCCCAAATGACGAAAATAATGAAGTGGGGAATAAAGAAAAGTTTTTGGTAAGTTACATAAATACTTCTTATTTATATATTTTAATTCACACCATTATAAAACAATAGATTGCCGGAATGCCAGTGGCCTTTTTATTTAATTTTGTCAATTTTAATATGTTATTGCAACGAAGTATTAATAAATAAAAAATAAATAAATAGATTGTTAATTTATTAAAAGGCCGGCAACGCACTTCCGAGATTTCTGGCTATGTGAGTGTCCATGGTATCACTTAACATCAGGTGAGCCTCCTATCCTCCTATTATATAAAAAAATACCCCGTAAACACAGTTTAAATACAATTCGACATAGAGAAAGGGGTCTTTAGTGCAATCGACTGATTTTGTTTTTATAACTATAGGGTCTTTGATAAAAGCATACATTTACAAAAAAAAATACCTATTTATACAGATAATTGTAAAAAGTACAAAAAGTGTCAACTGTACGACATGTGCTTCTTTTCTTCTTAGACTTCTGCGCATAAAGAGTCCTTTTTACTTTGCTATCTATGCACTTAACAATTATCACACTTGCTGGATTTAACATATTAAACCTTAGATCTTTTTTATGCAGTAATTTCTCATATTTTGAAAACACAGAAGTTATACAAACTATCTTTCAAGATCTTAATGAAGGCGTATCGTTTGTAGGAATTCAATATATTCCAAACTTAGGTTCTGGGTTTTATGTGACCCTGTACGGTTATTAGGCTCAGGTAGCATGTGTTTATCATTTATATTTCATAGACAAGTTTGTGTCAGCCTTCTGTCTGTCAGATAGCGTCTATTTTCGGATTTGAGAAATGCCGGTTGTTTCATATTTCTGTCTTCACCGTACAAGCGAGTGTTAGATGCGCACGTACAGAAAGTCCAAGGTGCACAACCGGAGATCGAACTTAAGACCACAGGGATAAGAGACGCACGCTGAAACCACCGGGCCAACACTGCTCTTGTTTTTCGAAGAGCAGTGGTATAAATATGCTTATGTTAATTTAGTTTTATGCTCCATTGTTTAGTCGTAATATTTAATTGTATTGTCTCCATTCGATTGTGTAATTTTATATAAAAAGATTTATTGTCATGTTGTCTTCTGACATAGACTTTTATACTATATATTTTGAGTATTCTATCCTATGTATCTCTTCTACAAAACGGTAGATTATTTGGATGATCTTTTTCTTATTTCTCTCGTTACTGTTAGCTAAATAATGTTTATCCATACTTTTATTTAAAACGATACGATCGCATTAATTTTCTTATATTAGGTTCTTTCATATGAAATTGGCGTTTTGTATGGGAGGAACAAAAAGTCGAATATTTTTAATTAATCAAAGTATGAACCATTGTTTTCTATGCACTTTTGCCATCTCATAGGTAGTTTATTGATCCCTTTACTAAAAAAACCAGTCGGACGAGAATCAATAAAATCTGTGAAGGCGATTTGGACTGCCCCATCAGAGTTAAATTTTTTCCCTTGCAAGAAGTTGTCCAAATTTCGAAAAAAATTGTAATTTGTTGGAGCAAGGTCCGGGGAGTACGGAGGATGTCTTAGACATTCCAATTGAAGCTCTTCTAATTTGGTAGCAGTCTGTTGTGCAGTGTGTGGTCTAGCGTTGTCGTGAAGTAGCAGTGGCGTGGAGCGATTGACCAGCCTAGCTTTTCCATCATCATTGCAGTTTTCTCAAATCTGGCCAGACATCTGCCGTAATAGTCTGGCCAGATTTGGGAAACCGGCAATGAACAATATCGGCACTAGTCCACCAAACGCTTACAAGTAACTTTTTTGGGGTTAATTTTCGCTTGGGGCAGGATTTGGCTGGCTGGCCAGGATACAACCACTGCGCTGAGCGCTTCCGATTATCGTAAAGAATCCATTTTTCATCACAGGTAATGATTCGGTTTAAAATACCTTCATTATTGTGCCGGTTCAGTAATGTAACGCAGCAGTCGACGCGCATTTGCCGGTTTGCTTCAGTCAATTCGTGAGGTACCCATCTTTCAAGCTTTTTAATCTTCCCAATTTGCTTCAAGTGAATTAAAACAGTTTTATCACTAACACCGCAGCCTGCAGCTAACTCGGACGTGGTTTGCGATGGATCCGCTTCCACAATAGCCTTCAATACTTTATTATCAACTTGGGTCTCAGGCCGTCCACGGGGCTTGTTCTGCAGGTCGACATTTCCAGAACGAAAACGTTGGAACCAAAAACGAACTGTGTTTTCTTTTGCAACATGACCGCCATACACATCATTCACCCTTCGAGTTGTTTCCGCAGAACTAGTGCCACGGCGGAACTCGTACTCGTAAATAATGCGTTACTTTAAGTTTTCCATTTTGTAAAATGAGTGACGCAAACAGAAAAAAACAAAAGAATGACGGTCATCGAAGCACAAATGCATGAGTAAATAGCTGTAAAAAATTGAATTTGGAATTCCTTACCAAAGATGAGAACATCATGATTAAAGTGGCCAGTACGAAATACGCCAATTTCATATGTAAGGACCTATTTAGTCACGTGACCATTTCCAAATTTATATTTTATTGTTCAAATATTTTGTTGTTCGTCTGGGGGTCTATCATGACTTCTTGTTGCGAGATTACTGACCTAAACAGAGCTTGAATCGCAATGAAATTGATATTATTACAGGGACGATTGCTAACAAAAATAATCAATATTTATATATTTTAAAACTTGAAGTCTAATAAACAAATACAATATTTTATAATTTACTAGATATTGTGGGTAATACCACTATAGGGAAATACGTTTCCAGATTGTTCATACAGTATTTCCTTAAGAGCTAACAATAACTATATAAAAATGTTAATAGTATTTATTATAATAGGGGCTATGTTATTTAATATTTAGTATGCCCCTAATTATTACACACTAGCTGTAGCCCTTCAATTAAATTAATAAAACGTTAAAACTTGTATCAAGCGAGTCTCGTATCGTATTTGGCGAGGGTTGATGAGAGCGGATGTTCGGTGGAAGCTTCTAATCGACGTTCATCTTTAAAATTAAAACTAACATATTTTTTACAAAATAATATATTTTGTATAACGCTATAAAGTCTTCCGTATATATTTTTAAGTAGATTGTATAGACCTCCTTATTCATAAAAATAAGTCTAATTGTACCGTAATTAAAGTACTCAAGTGTCTCTTTTCAACAGTGTAAACATAATTTGAGAGAATGAGAAAAGTTATATAATAGTTATTTATTATCTATAAGTTATCTTACAGCTACACAAATACATATTGTAAAAGAAAACTTAAACAATATAAACCAAAACAGCTTGCATTGTTAAACAAAATATTCGAAACAGAAAACACAAGCCAAAGTCAGTCTTTCCGCTCGCTAAAGTATTTCCTCTCGCCATCTTTGGTAAGGTGGAAAATGTATACATCTTCATAAATATTATATTATTATATTCTTCTTATTTTTTCATAAATTGTATTGTAATGCGCCAATGTATTGGGTTTTTTATTCATGTACGTACGAGGCACGTGGAACAATTGTGAACATCTTTGCATTTGCCATTTGTAATCTAAAGTTCATCTATTACGAAATCAACTTTGTCTCTTAACAGTACATAAGTCGATATTATTTCAGAATACTATAAAATCATTTGACAACGTTAAGGATGAGGAGTCTGCAATAAAGGAAATAGCAATTTCAGTTGGCACAGCATTGAGTGCTGGTGCCTTTGGAGTATATAAACTGTTTCCCGATGACCCGGCTGTCGTTCAATACTATGTGATTGATAATCAGGTAAAATTGGTGTTTGAACGTAGAAATAACTAATTGGTAGTATAATGGTAAGATGAATTCATATACATGAGGATGTTCTATTAAAAATATGTTATGTAATTTTTAATAGGCTTTGCGTGTAAACGTTCTTCCAGTGGTTAATATATTCGGGTTGTCTCTTCCTATTTTATTTCTCAATTATTTAAAGTATTAAATAACTTTTTCATATTTCGTGTTTTCACGCAAATGCGTTAGTTCTTATAAAAATTACAAAACCAAATGTATGTATTAACAAAAAATGTCCATGAATATTTATAAATATTGGTGTGTCTGTGCGTGTACGTATGAGTTTATGTGTTTATGTGTGTATGCGTCTATGTGTGACTATTTACTTAAATTATTTTGTATATAATTTTTGTGGGAGTTCTTTGTTTTATTTTGTAAAATATAATAATAGTTTATTATTTGATAAAATATAATAATAGTTTATTATATTTTATCAAATTGAAACCTTACTAGCAAGACAACTCCTTTTTGTCTGGAATAACTCTTATAAATTTCAAATAAAAATATCAAAATTTTTGTTTAGAATACATTGCTCCAGACAGAGGCAGAATATACAGAGAACGTCCTGGAAGTTGCTAAGACTGGTGCAATCCTTCGGTTATCCACAGACATGGATCGTTCATTAACAAATACGGTAACTCAGTTTTATCATTTAAAAATACTGGTCTAAGATCCCGATATACAACGACCTTCACCGAGATGCTTATTTAATGAAACGTATTTTATATTTAATTTAATATGTCAATAAATATAATCCATATGGGTTGCCTAGCAAATTTCAGTCAAGAGTATTTTAATTAATATTTAAAAAAAAAATGGTGAGTGAATGGAATTTCTCAGGTACAAATGAGGAATTTCGACTAATTATTAATGTACGGCTTTGTTATAAGTGTATAGATGATTAAAAATAAATGTCGAAAAACCTAGTGCCGTACTAAAGTGATGGTGCCGGAAGTCGGTTCAAATTTTTAATTCGACGATAGTTGCAGAAGCAATATAGGTCATTTATTACTGTACGGCATTGGTGTAATTCCTTTTGGACACATATACAGATACTTTACCCGTAAACGCCGTACATATTTCCAGCGGAGCGGTCGAAAGCCAAGGGTCGCAACCCTACCCCTACACCCATATACCCTAAGGTCATTGTAAAATGTACGGCAACATGTTCAAAATATTATTTAACACGGACAATAATGTTTTATAATTATGCCGTCCAAAAATTATAGTTAATATTTGTGTAAATAAATATTTATCGAAATTTCAGGATTTACCGAGTTCTTACTGCTGTAAGATCAGAGAATAATGTACGGCAACTTGTTTTTTTACATAATGTTACTAAATATTACCGTTGTAACTTATAGCCGTTCATTATAAATGGTAACAAATAAAAATATTATGATAAAAAATATATGAAATTTCCGAAATTTAGATGATTTTTCAAATATTCCTAGAGTAATATGAGGAGTAATATTTTCAAAGATTATTGTTATTTTATATGTAACAAATATAAATAAACAAAAAAAACCAGATGCCGTACATTTTACTCCAGATTATTCTTTACAGCTGATAAAAACTTCGACGACGTTTGAGGTGTCCCTTAAGGTCATTAATAACTGTACTTATCCGAGTATACTACCATAAGGCTGTAAAGTATATTTACAGCTTTATCATACCAGCAGGAAGAGGTAAAGGAAAAATATTTTTAACAAAAATAAAAATATAATACAGGGCGTCCCAAAGTTATAGGATATGAAGGGAAAGTACCTTTAATGTCGTAGATAGGGTATCTTACTGAAAGAAGACTTTATGTTATTTTTAAAAGTTAGTAATTCTGCATTCAAAGATTTTGTAAAAATTACTTGCCTCGTCTGGAAATCGAACCGGCCTAAATGTAAAATAAAACACCCCTACTTTTATGATGCCAATCGAAAGAATGGCCAAAACCTAATAACTTTTCTAAAGTAGGCGGTGGTATAATCTGCCATTTCATAGACTAGCGGATTATCGAAAGTGTACGGCACTTATCTTTTATTGAAGATTGTCTAAAGTACTAATAACCTGTGTTACTGCCGTACAGATAAAAGTCACTGGAAAATGACTCTTTTCAGAGTGAAGTAATTTACCCCATACACCTATGTGTTCCACGAAAAATGTACGGCATCCTGGGAAATATTATCTATTTGTGAAGTACTCTCAAGATCATTTAATTTTATGTTGTTCTATATCATCATCACCTATATGCTAATTAGACATATGTTGCGACCCTTGGCTATCGATCGCTCCGCTGGAAATATGTACGGCGTTTACGGGTAAAGTATCTGTATATGTGTCCAAAAGGAATTACACAAATGCCGTACAGTAATAAATGACCTACATTGCTTCTGCAACTATCGTCGAATTAAAAATTTGCACCGACTTCCGGCACCATCACTTTAGTACGGCACTAGGTTTTTCGACATTTATTTTTAATCATCTATACACTTATAACAAAGCCGTACATTAATAATTAGTCGAAATTCCTCCTTCGTATCTGAGAAATTCCATTCACTCACGTACTCACTTGTACCGCTCAGAAATGACGGCATAGTGCTCAGAGTTATTTTCAGATATAGTAACAGCCTTCTAAACGTAATTCACGTTGGGTCATTTCACAGGTATTTTTTGTTCATGGGCTTGTGGTCTATATACGTATTACCAGACTTTCGCGCTGAGGGTAACTACGAGTATGTAGAGGCAAATTAAAATTTAAAAAAATAATGTAAATTAATAAAAAAATTAAATTAATTTACAATATTTTTTTAACAATGTTTATTCTTGATACGACAAAGTCTTGCTGAAAGAGATCTCTTTTGCCCAAATTCTTTATTAGCAATGTCGTAAAAAATTATTTTCAGAAGCTGAAGCACGTAATGTATCAACCGATCTTAAACGAATCTGGACAGACTACTTACATTGTAGAACTGTGGAGATCCGACGCTTTTGACGAAGCAGAAGAGAAATTATGCTCAAACTTTATTACTTGGAACAGTCTAGCACTGCACTATTGTAATTTGTACTGGGCAAAGAACCAAGAATATGATATGTACGGCTTTTTACTAGAGTCTGTGAAGTAAGTTATTTCATCCATAAGTTATTTATGAGATTACAGATTATTGTTTTTCCTAACTGAGCAGTATCAGGGAGTAACTTCGAGCCGACCAAAGTTTCATAGCAGGCTCCAGCTGATGATGCAGTTTTTCTGTTCGAATTTACTACATATAGCAATATAATCTTGCCTTTGCCTCGACCACTTAAAACTTAATTGGAAATAAACACACTTATCGGTTAATCCAGGTATTATAATTATAAAATAAACTTAAAAATTCCAGATCTATATTTGAAGACATCGAATCCCTAGATCATGTGATGAAGAGGGTTTTAGAATTTGTGCAAAAATTGGTTAAGGCAGATCGGGCGTCCCTGTTTCTTGTTGATAATAAAAAATCAGAACTGGTACCACCGTTATTTGATATTGAATATGAACCATGTCACCTGAGAGCTAATGGCAAATTTCAAGAAATAAGAGTGCCCCTGAAAAGAGGAATTGCTGGCCATGTAGCACTGACGGGTAAAAATCTTAACATTGCTGATGCCTACTCGGATCCCAGATTTAACAGGTGCTGTTGCGAATGTTTGTATGTGAATTTTTAGACACTCAGATGAAGGTTTTGATGCAAAAGTTATTCTTTCATTTTGACAATCAAGGGTGCATTTCAGTAACTGAGTAACTAAAAAATCCTAATAAGCTAGGCTAAGATAGGCTTAGCAAAAATTATTATTAATAGAATCCATAAATTTATAAAAAAAATTATTTGGTTAAAAAATTAAGCATTTATATATAATTTATTATTACAGTGAAGTCGATGAACTAACTGGATACAAAACTAAAAATATTCTTTGCATGCCTATTAAGGTGCAAGGTAATGTAATGGGCGTTGTTCAAATGATAAACAAGAGGAACAATGCTACATTTGACCAAAAGGACGAAATGGCATTTGAACGTTTTTCTACGTTTTTTGGACTAGCGTTGCAGCACGCCAAACTATATCATGACATATTAAAACAAAAACTAAAGTATGAAGTTGCTCTGGAAGTTCTAAGTTATCATAACACTTGCAAAGATCGTGAAGTTCACGAAATCAATAAGGATATCGAGACATTTAATATCAATATGGATAATTTTTATCTGGATCCTTATATGTTTGATGAGATCCAAAAATGCAAAGCTGCCATAACAATGTTTCATGACTTATTTGATTTATCAAATTTCAATAGGTTATCTGTAATAAGATTTATACTTACTGTGAAAATAAACTATAGAAACGTGCCGTATCATAACTTTGATCATGGATGGTCTGTTGCTCATGCGATGTATGTCATGTTGAAAAATGATAATGAAAATCGATTCGATTCCAAAATGGTATGTGTACTGGTAAACTAAATAGAACGTTGATATTAGCTTGCTTTTACCTCGTGTAACGCGAATTTCCGGGACAAAAGTATTTTTATAGTATATTTCATTACAAGTGCGGAAAGCCTGTCATTGCAAAGAGTTTCGACAAATGTCTACCCGAGCCGAGGCGCAGCCGAAGGTGAGCGTTGACAGTCGGAACAAGTTGCAATGACGGTTCCGCACGTGTACTGAACAACTATTTTTAATACAGTTGCGAAAAAATTATGCAAATTAATAAAATAATAAAAACACAATAAACTCAACTAACTAATCATTTATTTCTTATACAAATTATTGTTCACATATACATTGGTACAGTTTTTTATACTAACTGGAGAAGTTTTAGGTTGCATATTTATTTACTGTTTGAGACAAACTATTATTAATTTCGTATGATTGTTCATGTATATTTAATATATAATATAACAAACAACTAAACGCGCAAAGAACATTTATGGAAAATGGCGCCAACCGTAAAAGAATATAAGCAGATATTTTTTTCTTCACCCATTCTGGGTAGGCAAAGGGAACTATGCCCATACAGCCAAGTCTTCAGTACAATTTTTTATTGATATGAAATGAAATCTAACCTAACTCATTGAATCAAATCATTAAATCTGATATTGAAACAAAGCAGTAGCTTCTTTTTAGAAATATTTGCATGAATCATAAAAATTTCTATGAACTTTTTTTTAGTAAAAACTTCGTGGTTGGTTTTTTCTTTTTAATAGACATTATTTTGACAGTTGGGAAAGAAAACGCACTAGTTCGGAAAAGGTAAAAAAAACACGAGTGTTTAATAGCCCACATCCCGAACGCTATACGTCCCTGCAATACGCCACTTTTTGAGCAACTGTATTAAAAAATAACATTACGTATTATACCCACTTCTTAATAACTAATCATTGATTACAGCGACAGGCTCTATTTGTGGCTAGTTTATGTCATGACTTGGATCATCGAGGCTATACCAATAAATATCTTAACGAAACGGCATCACCTTTAGCTACTATGTATACCACTTCTCCTCTTGAACACCATCACTTCAATATCACTGTGAAGATCTTACATCAGGTAAAGTTTTTGTTTAAATTAGTTTTTTCATGACACACATTCATAAAGCCCAGTATAACACGCAGCGTTACATGAATCATGTACATGTATATTATGAAGAATTTTCCATCCAAACAGAATTATCTCATTTTATCATAAACCGAAGACATCGAGGTTAGGTCATAGACCAAAAGCAATAGTCTACACCTGCTAGCTTCGTATGCTCCTTTACATAAACAAAAAATATTGTTGCATACCGTTTTATGACTGGTTAATTATAATGTCTTTCAGAGTGGTCACGATATATTTTCTCATATGGCACACGAGGAATATCGAGACATTTTAAAAGATATTGAACATTGTATATTAGCAACGGATTTAGCAGCATTCTTCCCAAATATGAAGAAAATGAAATCTATATTAGAAGTAGACAAAGTTCAACTATTTAATTGGCAGGATCCGAAAAATTGGTATGTATCATAATTTTGAAATGCAGTTTTTTTGCAATTATGTTGAATGATCTAATTTTGGGTTCTAGATGGTTAATGGTTAGTAAAAATTTTTTTAATGAACTAACTCTTGAAAAATTATAATTTAATTACGATTTTCTATTTCAGCAAACTGGCAATGGCAATATCAATGACTGCTGCTGATCTATCCGCATCCACAAAACCATGGGATATCCAAATAAAAACTGTGCAAGTAATATTTGAAGAGTTTTACGAACAAGGTGATAAGGAAAGGGCGGCTGGAAAAACACCTATGCCTATGATGGACAGATACAAACCTGAAGAACAAGCGACTAGTCAGGTAGTAGAATAATAACTTAATGAATTTGTATTTAATTATGGTTGGGCTGTTACGTGGTTGTCGCATCGAAACCCATGGCACAGAAATATATTTATTTTATAGAATCAGACCTATGGTATAACGAAAAACATTGTATTAGTTTTATAGAAAAATTTCTCGATTCTAGGCCATGTAACTGTAAAGACCAGTTACTAACGGTTCAAATCAATTCTATGTAAATGTTAAAATCCGTAGTTTTAAATCCAAATCTGGTTTAAAAATTACAATATTTTTCTTACAGGTCGGTTTCTTGGAGCAAATATGCGTACCGTGTTACGAAATTCTTCGACAAATACTTCCGAATACAAAACCAATGTACGAAATGGTAGGTAAAAATCTCGAAACGTGGAGATCAATCAAGACAAATAAAAATTTAAGTAACGTTAAGGATAACCGGGCTCTTAATGATGACTTACAAACCTCTGCTGCTCAGAATGATTTAGAACAGAAAAGTAATGTAATCAATGAAATAAAAGTACCAAATGATCGATCGTATAATGGCACTTTAATTGAAAGTAAAATAAACAATACTCTACGAAAAATTGACTCGTTTGAAGACCTTAACGATAAAATAAAATTTAAAGATAAGGTTGGTAAAATAATTAAGTTGTTGCCTATGGAAAGTTCCACAGATGACGAAGGTGTAGTAACACCAACACACAGCCGACACACAACACAGAAACCATATTGAGTATGATTATGATCGGTATAGCAGTAGTTGTCATTGTGTCATTATGTTCTCAAATCCCGTGAATGCTACTTGTTTGAGTCCTATTTCTGCTGGTAGTATATCACATTTACAGGGCAGATTAAGTGGTTACATTTAGAAAGTCGGCCCATTGAATTAATTGGCTTACTTTGTTAACGCTTTTTCTCTAAGGGTATAAACTAGAAACTTCAGTATTTGTATCTGCACAATGGGTAATTTCTGTATTTTTTGTAGTAAGATCGTAAGAAAAAAAAGACGGGATGCACTCCGGGAGTGCCGGCATAAGTGAAAACTTGAATATATCAATATAACGATGTGCATTTTTGATAGTTTGGAATGGTTAGGGAATAATTTTGCACGAATTGCCTTAATTATCAGTATAAAAGTACTATCATTTATGTGCTAGAATACAATATTTATTTATTGCGCTATCGTACACAAACATGACAATTTATATTACATTAAATACGCCGCGCCAGCTGTCTACTCTTCATCCGTCTTACGAATTTTCGATCAGGTCATGTGTGACGCGAGTTTAACATTTTTTACCCATTCCAAAATAAGTGTACAATGCCGCTAAAGAAGGTTTCACATTAAAAATATAGATTATATTTTGTGAGAGAAGACCGTTGCAAGTTACCAAAGATAACTTAAGCTAAGTTAATATTATCGATAGGTTAAGTATTATTTGCTAAACGTCAATTGGTAGTGTAAAGATACTGTCTCGCGACCTCGTTGAAGAACTGAGATAAAAAGATGCTGGCAAGAATTACATTAGTGCCTGATAAAAACGGGAACAATTCATTAATTATATTTATGTGACTTAAATGTAAGAAAAAATATTTAGACATTTCTCATAAACAAATAGACGAAACTATTTAAAACTTGCTTCTACTTAATCTAAGAAACAGCTCTTCTCTGTTTTAAATATTGTAAGTATTTATAAAAAAATAGACCTATGAAATTAACGTTTTAATTTTGGTTAAATTATTACTATTGAATGTTGGAGCAGCGTAAAGGTACTACAGTATCTATGTGATAAAGCATTTGCAAATGACAATCAAGATAAGGCTCCTTTATATCGGAAATTATTTTTTTCGTGCAAGAGATAAATGCAATTTAAAACAAATAAATTGCTGAGTATTACTGAATTATAATAATCAAGTAGTTTAACAATAAAATAAGATCGTAATAAATAATTTGTTTTATTTCGAAATCCATTTAACCAATAGTGTCCCCATTCTTAGCGACGTTATAAGCTGCGAGGTCGTAAAACGTGAGGAAGAAGCTGAAAAAAATATAAATTATTCACTTCATGTTTTACAAGAATGAGGTTTCAGGTATGAAATAGCAATATTGAAATCCATAGCATCAACAAGTAGAGGATAGGTAGTTAGCCATATGTTTCCTCCAAAGCAAAAAATTATTTAGCAAGAGCATCGAATTCCTTCTAAATCATTTATTAAACCGATTGCATAAGTGAAAATGTTAAACTCTCGCTAGTATTTAAATATAGTAAGTAAAGTAATCAAGAAAATATCACTTACTTATTTGGTTTTATACCCAGCTCTTTGTTAATAAAAGCGGTGACTTCCTTAGTTATGACTTTGTTATCATCGGGCCCTAAATTTCCAATCGATTCTATCGACGCCACTGCCCCATATTCCGTTGATGCTCCACCGAATGACAAGCGACATTCTCCAGATATGACGACTATGAAGTTCTGAAGACAATATAAGACACTTTAAACGGACCTTAGAAATGATATATTTTTGATAAGGAAAACTTGCAGAATTTTATACGATGTATCTTGCGATTTCAAGGTTGCATGAGCCCTACGGATATTGACGCAAATACATCGAACTTACATATAAAATCGGTACTTAAGTCGGTGTTACTAGCCGTGATGTGCGCATACGCAATATGCAACTACCACTAAAACTATTTATAATAAAGTCTTTCATAATATATTTTGGAAAAGAGATTTATATCTGGTATCTACCTATAGGGAATAGTGTCGGTATTATACACAAATTAAAATGTTATTTCATAGTGAAAATACACACACGCTCGCAGTTTTCAAAGTAAATTATAATTTCAATTTTAATATAATATAATATATATATATATTTGAACGTTCGCAAATATTTACTTGTTCTGGCTTCCTCACGGATTTGGAGAGCACGGGCACGATTTTATTGACAAAATCATTGGGAATTTTGCTGTTTGGTAGATTTGTGAGCACCTTCAAGCACGGCATGTTTAATATCTAATATGCAACTGACAGAAATCGTAACTGTATTTATGTAAAACAATATGAGCAAACAAATGATAAGAGATAATTTTATAAGTATAGCTTGTTTACTAAGATAAAAACGATAAAGTTTTAAGTGTGTATAAGAGGTTAATATTGATAATTGGTAGCTTTAATGTTATGAAATACCTAATCATTAAATTGATTGAAGGACTCTATTACTTCCGGATCGACCAATGGTTTTTTGTGACAAAAAGTACTATATTGACTCAGCTAGTCTGATCAAAGATTAGATTGTCGATAAATTTGAATTGGTTTATCAGTTAAGGTTTGACACAAATTTTAAATGATTTTGAATTTATATTTTGTATATATTTCTTGTGTTTGTTCTACGACTTGTACAAAATAGTGTCTTAAGGTATACATGTAAATCATCTTATGACATATTGACGTTAACTGAATATCACAGAGTATATATTGTTTTGGAATCGATAATAAAGAGCGAATGAGACTTCCAGCTTACTAACTTAGCTTTAAACACATATTTTAATAGTTACAGTACACCGACATAGAAATAGAATAACAACAAAGTTAAAAAAATTTAAACGCCTGCTAAAATTTGAGAGCAATCTTGCAGATAACAAAAGAATCCTCAATTCGGATTTTTCGTTATCCAATTTCCACATAAAATACCTGGGTAGTAAGAATTTAATACAAAAGATGCAACATCATGACGCTGACATTCTCACTCTGAACTAAGAAATTACAACACTCAGAACCTCTTAACAGAAGCGCAATGATGTCCAGTAGATAGAAGGATTACGCAATAGAAATCAATTATTTTAAGGCTATTGACATAATGCTAGACCGCTTGGTAATTAGTTGTGAAGGATTGCGCAGGTACTCTGCAACAGCCAATAGCAGTACAAATCCTGACATTTTTGTATACAATTATGTTGTAGTTCTTTCCAGGTCCGTAGCGCTGATGGCTTGGGATTGCTTGCTTCAAATTGATGTCTTGTTCGTTCGATATTGCTATAGGTGTTACAGAGTACGAGTTATTAAGACGCTGCCCAAGGGTTGTAAAAAAAGGTCATTGAACTATGCAACAATGTATGAACTCGTCCTACATCTAATGGCACTGAGAAGTGAGAGGCTTCAGTCGTATTGATTTAGCATAACAATAGATAATACATTTAAATGACGTTTGATTACAATTTGTTTGCTTTCTAATGTTTGTCCTTGTTTCTATTGTTGGCATATCCTATATTTATGACTCCTATAGGACACAGTGAGATAATTACTGACTAGTAAGAGAAAAAGGCTTATTTGATCCATTAATTGATAGAAAAAAAATATCTACAAACTTTTTATCTCTGGGCCTCAGATTTATATATCTGTTTCAGGCTCAATCAAATAGGCAAGTAGGTTATTAGACTTCTGTGCCTGACACACGCCGTCGCCTTTTTGGGTCTAAGGCAAGCTGGTTTCCTTTATCGTTCGAGCGAATCTTAAATGCGGACATAGAAATAAAGTCCAATGGTGCAGAGCCGGGGATCGAACCTACGAGGTTCCCACGAGAATGTTAGTGCGTGCTCCTATTTCAGCATGTCTAGGTACTGCTAAAAGAGGACAAATCTTTGATTTTTTATTATTATTAATTAACTATAAATTAGTTAAAGATGTCAAGAAGCATGTGTTTCTATTTTAATTGACGTTTATAAGTGTAGATTGTTTTACCTAAATGAATAAATGATTTTGAATTTGAGGGTCGGTGAAGCCACTAGACACTAGCTAACACTGCTCTTCTATTATAATCATTAAAGGGTCCTTTATCGATGAACACCTATTAAATATTTTAATAATTTTCACTGCTTAACGGAATTCTGAATTTAAACAGATATAAAAATTTAATTACATTCTTCTTTTTATAGCGATGATATCAAAATACGTCACATTTTTTTAGTATGCGTAGGCGACATAGCATTGTGCTTATGTTCGCCATTTGATATTACGAGATCTGCAACCACACCCAGTTGGCTAATGGGCTAATAAAAAGATAAAACACTAATGCAGTTTTGCGTAATAAATATTAAATTTAATCCTCTTTTATATTGCAACAGTTTTGCTGTTAATCTTTTAATTTCTATGCCAATACCTCTCATTGATAATTATATAATTACAGTGTTGTTATTTATTATGGATGAATTTCAATTACATATAATATGTATTATGCACATAGGAATAATCAAATGCTTACAATCCATTCCTCGGTTTTAATAGTGTCTACACTGAAAAAACACCAAATATTGGTCCAGCCAACTTCGACTTTTGAACTTAGCAACATATTTTGCGATTCATTTTTATTTATATAGGGGTTGAGCTTCAATCTCTCTCTATCTATTTTATAGAAAAAAGAATACTTGTTATTTTTTTCGTATAGAAAATAAAACAATGAAAATAAAGGTATGTTTGTGTGAGACCGAATTGTATATTATACAACTGGATTTGAATTTTTACTCCCATTGCTTGAGAAATACCTCGATGGGTAAATAATAGGATGTTTGTCAGATGCCATCAGAAAGTTATTTTGAAGCAATCAAGATGTTAACAACAATGACTCTTCTCACGGTGTTACCTTCACATAGGTCAAATAATCGTTTCCGTAGAAAGAAAAATATATTGTATAAAGAAGGTATAAATATGAAGAAGTATTCACGTACATTATATCTATGGTTCTCATATGGACCTAATAAGATATAAAGCTCGAATAGGTGATGAAGAATCATGAATTATACGTTTTAGGGGAGAGTGGAGGAAGTCATACACGAACTTCAGAAATTAAGAGTGCGACTGAAGAAGAGATGTATCTTATCACACGTTAGTGATTGGTAAATTCAACTATTCTCATCGCCATGTCATTCCACAGCCAAACATTTTCTACGATTACTGACTGGGTCAAGTTGTGAAGAACGTCCGCAGTTCTAAAGGACTCAAGTACCTAATAGAAGTGTTCACTCAATGCGCATATGCAATCGCACTGTCAATGTGTGCGTATTGATTGTATCTAGATTTTATAAAACGTATGTATAATATAAAATTTTAATACAATATATTTTGTGAAAGAGATCAAGAGCACGGTAGTACAGCAGTGCAAAAAGTGACAATCGCTGCAGTTGAATGCCATTCAAATCTCATCTTCCATTGGAATAGATAATTATGGGAACACGTCGGTAATAAGGAAGGTGACTCCGTACAATCAAGATATTGGTAGGGTTGAACAAGTGACGTTACAAGATACGGCATTATAATTAATAAAAAAAAATAAAGGTTACATCTAGATTAATGTTATGAGCTGAAACATTTTTTGGTCTCTGGCAAAATAAGTTCGGATTATTATATTTAGCAATTGTATTATTATAATTAATATTATGTTTGAACGAATTAATTTGGGTTGAAACGCGTAGCATGGCTAGTTTTAATGAAACAAATGCTAAATTGTATCTATTCAGAGCCTCTTGTATTCCGGCATATCGCTTAAATAAAAGCAAAAGCAGCTGTGCATGTCCCCATGTCCCTTGGTTTTTTTCAAGCTGAACCTTAAAAACAGATTTCTGAGGATAAAAGATATAATAACTATTTTCCCGAAAAAAAATATGTCAATGAGCTACGGATCTATATTGTAATTTGTAACTTATATCAACGCAAACAAAAATTTCACTTAAAAGAGATATTTGAAGCACTGTCTAAGTGCGCACTTGACACAAACTTACAAGTTGAATTTCAACACATAACTTTTTATAATGTAAATTTTTACCACTTCATACAAATTTGAATATCTGAGAAAAGCATGTGAAAACACTCAGTCTGATGCCTCAGATTCGATCACGTTCTCAAATTCTTGTAAAGGTACTGGAATGTTTAAGAAATCCTCAAAAACACCAAAGGTTTCAGTTGCTAAGTACTTGACTTGAGAGAGAGAAGATAATGTCATGAACCTGCTGTTCATCCGTTTTAATTTCGCTCTATTCTTTCAAACTCTCTTGGTGGCTGCAATCATAGTTCAACACCAAGTTTTTGGTAATCATCAAAAGGGGATTTAGCGTTCGCATCAGGGGTACACAGTCATAGTTATCAACCCCCTAGTCATGACCTCCAGTGTCGGAGTCCTGTAGCGGTACCAGGCCCTTCACACTAAATTATTTGTTTGTTTAATCGTCTTTTACTATAGAGAATTTGTGAGAGTCAATATTGAATATTGACAGCAAAGCAACGTAACGATTAAAAGCAACTTGTCGACAACCCTATGACGTCGTGTCAGACTAATGGATGAGCAAGTTCACGTGATTTCCTTGATGAAAGTTTCGCTGACATTATCCTATAGAGGTCATGCATGCTATTATTATGCTTCATGTCTTCATGTTTAGGAAACAGATTACAATTTAATAGTTATACTTTAGTTTTATTTAAATTAAACGAATTTTTAAATGTCACTTTGAGCCATTTGTTCGGAGATATCTGATTGATGATTTTTAGTAAGTACATAGACAGAAGAATGGTGGTGTGACATACATAATTTTGTGTTTGTTACAATCATAAATTACTTAAGGCAAGTAGGTCAGCCTTCTGTGTTTATAAACTAACAATAATTATTTCTCCGGAAGTCTTATCTAAGAAATACGTCACATCAGGTGGCTGCTAAAATAGGGCGTGAAGCGAAAGAGGGAAGGGGTAACTTTTGTTGTATTAAAATAATTAATTGTCCTTTAAAGTATATATATTTATTTTGCAAGCTAAGTTATATCTATACAAATATATAGAAAGAGGATTATATCAAAAAGTACTAGACCGTATTTAAAAATTCTTAAAAATTCTTTCACGATTTGAATGCTACATTATCACTGATAAAACGGCTTTTAATTGCAAGAAAAAAATAAGAATCCCTACTAAAACTACAATGTAAAACTAAAATGTTAATGTTATGTTACTTACATCATACTATCTTA